CTTAAAGTCACTGAGCCTTGCCTTACACATCTGTAAAATGGAGATAACGTTTTCCTCTTAAAATTACTCAAGAATTACATGAGATAATCTATATAAAGTACCAAGCAAAGTGCCTGGCACATAGTAAGTGCACAATAAATGGTAGCTCGTTATTACTGTTCAAGGGTAGCTTCAAAACCAACCAGGTCTACCCAGCTCCAAACAGTTTCTACAAAGCCAGGTGGCTAACAATGCGACCACAAATAAGGAACAGGTTTTTGGTCTCATTTAAGTCTTGATTATTACCTGACAATACTTTTGAATTTTTAAATTATAATTGAGTTAGCATTATCATGCCACAGGGAAGATACTATTTATATGGCCACATGTAAAACTCTAATGTACTTACCACCACCCCGACAGGCATTCCTTAATTCCTCAAACATTAATTTTTCCAGAGCATCATTCACGTAGAAAACTCCTTCAACCTGGTACCAACAAAAAGGAAAAACTAAGAGCACATGCATATGATATATAGGCACCGGATAGAATACACACATTATATGTAATATTTATTTTACTTTACTCTTTATAAAACATTTCCTCATTACCTTAAGCAAGCAGAAAACTTCCTAACAAATACTACCAGATGTTCCTATCTTTAAATGTATTAAAAATGTATTTTGCAATGTTCACAAATTGTTTATTCTCCTACTCTTAAACAAACAGTTAAGAATTCAACAGGAATTTTTTGCATGTGTGGTAAGTCAGTCTTGGGGCACCTGGGTGCCTCAGTTGGTTAGGCATCTGCCTTCAGCTCAGGTCATGATCCTAGAGTCCCAAGGATGGAGCCCTTCACCACATTCATGCTCTCTCTCTCTCTCTCAAATAAATAAAACCTTTAAAAAAACAAAAAAGAAAGAAAGAAAAGTCTTCCAACTATGCTCTCACCAAGGCCAAAAGTCCTACTACTCCTGTGCTTCTAAAAATCAGTGGGTCTTGATATATCGATAAATCAAAAAAGTAAAATTCTAAACATAAAATTGCAGTCATCTGACCTCAGTGTATTTTTTCTGTGCCTAAGACAACAGCACATTACACTTTATTTCGTCCTATGCTGATTTATAAATCAATATTTAGGTAAAGAGTAAAAAAAATTTAACATATAGCTACACAGCTGTGTGCTTAGTTCTAGAATCTACACAATTTAAGAGGATAAAGGAGCTTGACAAAAAAAATACAAAAGGCAATGGAGGACGTAATTATGTAACACCAAAGGCCAGAAGTTTTTATCAGATATCAAAGATAATGAAGAAGCTGCCCACTGAAGAAGCAAAGACTTAACACTAATCACCTGGACAAATTTCTTTCTTTTATAAGAAAGAGGACTTCTGCTTGAATAACACCAGTTGAAAACGGAAAATGTCTCCAGTACAATTTTCTAATTTATTAATTCACCAAACATTTACTGAGGACTTACTATGCTTTAGGCACTGTAGTGGGCACTAGGGGAGATACAAAGAATATATTAAGATCCTGTTTTGTTTTTTTTTTTTTAAAGATTTCATCCATTTGTCAGAGAGACAGAGGCAGGCAGAGGGACAAGCAGGTTCCCCACTGAGCAAGGAGCCCAATGTGGGACTTGACCCCAGGACCCTGAGATCATGACCTGAGCTGAAGGCAGACGCTTAACTGAGCCACCCAGGTGTCCCTAAGATCCTGTTTTTGAGGAATTTTCAGCCCAGGATGCAGCCCAGACTAGAAAGTTAAGAGGGCAATGAGGCAAGCTCTATGATAGGGGAGTGCTATGAAGAAACTGATGAAGTGGCTCAGTAGCCTAGGGAGCCGGAGGAGGCTTGAGAGGTGTTCACCGTTTTAACTAGCTCTTCAAAGACAAGAGACATCACTGGAGCTGCAAGACATTCAGGAGATATAAAGGAGACACAAAAATGACATAAAATTGGGAGGGGAGTCTTTTAGGGAAGAGGAATTTTCAGGGCAGCATTTAGGTCTTAAGGGAGGAATAGAGATTGAGGAGGATAGATTCGGTAATTACTGTGAAATTCACTCATCTCTCAAGAATGGGAATACAATTCAAGCTTAGCATAAAGGTCAGCAACTTTTTAAGAGCAGTATATCGAGATTTCAACTCTCTACTCTTAGGGGAGCAATGATAGTAAAGTGCCCTACAAATAGTTAAACGATAACTGCCTGTCGCAAGATGAGACTTGCTCTTAGGCAGGATTAGCAGCAGTTGTGTGTATCAAAAGTGCTGCTAGAATCACTCCCAGACACCGACGGTGTGTTACACTGACGGTGTGTTATCACGACCATCATGTCGTGGTTACTGCCTACTCCTTCATTCAGGGAACCAGATTCCATTAACAGAAACCGGCTAAACGGAAAACAGCAAAATGGAATCTTATGACCACGGCCCTTTCCTCCTCTCAGTGTCTAGCTTTGCTCATGGGGGACACTCAGTAAGTTTTGATACTGAGTAAGAAGAGTGGAGTGGCTGTCAGGAACTCTTACCAAGACACAGACTCACAAACCTCCAACACGCTTACAGGGCACCTTAAGGGAGTTCAAAAGCTACTTAACATATGTCCCCAAAACCTTACAAATGACTGTTTTCTTCACTTTAATGGAAGATAATAAGCACAAATGGCAATGAAGCCCGAGACATAGCGAGCCCAGGCTTTCACACTCCCTGGTACTGGGTTCCAAGTCTCCATCGGGAATACATCATTCTGTCAGAGGAAAAGAGAAGTAAAATGGGTATCAAGTCCTGGCTGAGCTTCTGACTAGGTGGCTAGAGGAAGCTGTGTCACCAACCCATCCTTAGCGAAGTGAGTATTAAAAACTAGCCACCCTGCGCTGTGAACTTTCTAGACCGCCGCGAGACGCAAGTACGTTTTATTCAACAGTGAATGCTAATAACTTGCTTCAGCAAACAAAGGTCCGTAAACGTCACCCAGATGGCCAGCATGACTCAGGAACGGGGTTCCCGTCCCAGCAACCCCACCTTGGACTGACTGGCTGTGCCACCGTGTGCAAAAACACTAACGCCTCTACAGCTCGGGAACGGAACATCTCACGGTGCGTTTTTGAGACTTTTGCGCCAAAGCGTTTTGCAAGCGCGAATTTAGCGTTCACTTGGATTCCCCAGGAACGTTCCGCTTCGCGGACCTTTTGCGCCGGGAGGTGGGGCCGGCCGGAGGATGGGGGCGGGGACGGTCCCCGCGCCCAGCCAGGGGTCGGGAGGGCGAGGGGGAAGGCCGGGCCCGGTGGGCAGGGAGGCGCCGCGGGCCCCCGGGAAGGCCCCGCCACCGGCTCCCCCTTCCCCGCCTCACCTGCATGTTGGGCACGAAGCCCTTCTTGATTCTCCAGCAGTTTTTATTGATCTTTTCCAAGAACTGCAGCTCATCATTATAATTACGACTCATGGCGGCGACAACGGTAGCAAAAACTGCCCGCTCCGCTTTGAAGAGACGCTGCCGCGCTGTCCCGCTGCCTGAAGCACCGCCTTCCGGAAGTCAACGCGCAGGCGCAGTAAGCTCCGCCGCAGGATGGGCGACGGCAAGCACCGAGGCTCGAAACTCCTGCCACCAAAATCGCTTTTATCTCGGTAAGTTAGACTGCCCTCTAGTGTTTACCTTTCGGATATTTACTAGTCCTCTTCCAGGCTTAAAGCGAAACTAAATACAGCCGTTTCTAGTGAGATGTAGTCATCCTTTGTTTTGGAAGTGCTTTTCAGCCCTTGAAAAACGCACTGAATCTGGATCAGGTCCAACTGCTGTAATGAAAATCTGCGTGGAGTTTACATTCCCAGCAGTGAGGGAAAAAAGCTGTGGATAGCCGAGAAACATGTTTAAATAAATATAACTGGACATTTGTAATGTTTCAGAATGAATTTGTGGATGCACATTAAATGACTTTTCTGTAGAAAAGAACATTCCAAAGAATGAACGTGACAGCTTATCATTTATTCCAACAAACGCTGATAGGGGTGGTTATTATGGCCAGATGTGCGCCATAAAGATGAGCAGATCACAGTCCTTGCGGACGGCGGGGCTTCCCAGACTTCCCTTCTTGGTCGACTAAGAACCGTGCCGTCACGCTCTTTTATACGCCTGTCTCTTGCTCACAGTAGTAAGCGATTTTCTCGTGATTTCGGCTTCTAGTCCCACCTCATGTAAATAGCGGTGACTTTGGAATCGGGAAGACTCGGATTCAATTTCTACCTCTCCCTGGTGTGCAGAGGCTGCTTTACCAGCCTTGTATGATTCATCTCTCTTCACCTTTGTTTCCTCATCTGTAAAATGGGATCACAATTCTTCAGAGTGTCTGTGAGCATTAGGTGAGTGACAGTCGTGGAGTAACCAGCACCGGGCTTGGCATCCACTTGCCCACTAGATTGTGAGCGCCACAAAGGCAGAGTTTGTGGTTTCTAGTCATTCTTACGTTATCCATACGGGTCTCCTTTCCTCCTCTTCTGCCCCAGTTTCACCCCAATAGTTAGATGCTCTAACAACTTAATATCACCAGCTACAAATGATCTAGGCTTAGCAGTCTGCACTGCCATTTCATTTCATCTGGGAGGGAAAACCCTAGAACTTAAAGAAGTGATATAATTTCCAGAGTTTCTCACCAGAAACAAATAAGAGGCAAGGTATCCCCCCCTTTTTTTCTTTTAAAGATTTTATTTATTTGACAGAGACACAGCGAGAGAGGGAACACAGGCAGGGGGAGTGGGAGAGGGAGAAGCAGGCTCTCCTGAGCAGGGAGCCCAAAGCAGGGGCTTAATCCCAGGACCCTGGGATCATGACCCGAGCCGAAGGCAGATGCTTAACGACTGAGCCACCCAGGTGCCCCAAGGTATTCCCTTTTTAAATCAAGCCTTGAAGTCTGCACACCTTCACTTTTTGTCAACTTAAAGAGGCTAAATTCTCTCATCTTTGTCTTATTTTATTAAAAAAAAATCCAGGGCAGAGAATTTCTCAAATAAAAAGACAAGATTATCATTAATAGAAAACAAGTTTAATTAAATACAGGGGACAGTAGCAGTAAATATAAAACATAAAATCCAATATGTGGGGAAGTGGGGAAAACCCTGGGCTGCAGAGAGAGCTAAAGGAAGCTCCTCCAGCAAGAACTCATGCATATCTGTACTTCGGAGTTTCTCATGCACCTCCTCAGAGGCACATGGCTAGCTTTCGGCCCCGGCACCTTATAAACACAGGAACACACAATGTGCCTTCGAACACAAACACACATTGAAACGCCTACCCCTCTACACACGCAGACACACACCCCGATTTAGCTCTTTAACTCAGTTTGCCTCCCTCTGACCCTGAGGGCTTGAGAAAGAAAACTGTCAGTCTAAGCACTTCACAAGGGCTTTACAATCCAGTGTGCATTGTCTTCCCCTTCTGGGTTTACAGTAGCTGTGGATTAAGGCCATTTACTTCCTGGAGTGGACTCCAAACAGGCAATCAGGCGACTGGCTTCCCCCTCCACTGTCCACTTATGAGGTTCAGACCTTCCCAACCATGGAAACTTAGCTGCTGCTTTAAGGATGTTTCATACTTCAGGTCGGTGGAAATCAAAAGGAACCCCTGAAAAGGAGGCAAGGGTGAAGATAACGTCACACTCCGGACACCGGCCGGGCCGCCGTAGGCCTATGGGGTTTGCTAAGGGGTGAGGGAGAGATGGTTTCTTTCCCAGGTCCTCCTGTGTCACACCCTCCCCCGCCACGGTCCCCTTGTGAGTGCCTGAGGCAGAGGAACAGGCCACTTGGGATTACTGTCTCCTTCTGTGACTTGAGCAGCTATAGAAGGGGAGGTGGGGAGGGAAACAGGAGGGTCGGATAGTGTATGGGATCGGAGAATTCCCTCAGAATCTTACTCCCCCTCCCTCAAAAAAAGCACCAGAACGGAAGAAAAAAGGTGTTCTGGAGTTTGTTGATAATGATTAATGAGGAAACAGCTCACAACAGATCCCTGAACCTTGAGGAGGGTCTTTGGTTTGGGCAAAAGTTCAGAAGAGCCGGTCAGGTCTCAGCCAGGCCTCGCTTTCCTCATTTTAAGTGGGACCGCTAATCCGGGCCTCGAAGGTGGTTTTGTGGAAGGAAGGAGATAAAGCACACCACGTGCGCCTTCTCGTGCTGTGGTGTGAGTAAGTCTGGCTGTGAAGGGAAATCAGACTTGGTTTGACTTTCAAACTCAAGTTTCAATGCTTTTCATTGTTGACTGGAAGCTTTAAGAGCTAAGCTTTTTGTCTACAAAACTCCTTGGGCTGGAAAAACACAAAGCAGAACAAAGTAGCATAAAACACAGTAAACAAAATAGGAAGAGGCTTATTCTACTACGAAAAGAAATGCGGGCAGTGAAGAGAATATTCACATTCTTACCTCAAAAACTTCAATATCTGAATTGACAAATGAGATTTTGTGTGGGTTGGGCAGAGGAATTCCTTGCTGCAATTTTGCTAAAAAAACGAAACGAGGTGTAGTAGGCGCAGACACAGAAGTTTTGGAAAACTTTTTAGTAAAAGACGAATAAGCAGTTTTTAAATATGTCTTTTCCTTCTTCCTGATTCTGTATTTTCATTCTATGTTCCTTGCATTTTCCTCGATGAATGCTTAATTAGCTAATGAAGTACTTAGTAAAAATGCACAAGCAATTATGTACACTTGGATGGCAGAAAAATGTTGGCAACTTGTCCAGTTTATATTTTGAAAATACCTTAATTAGCGGGTCTGAGAACATTTTGGTCTCTGATACAAAATGTATTTTAACCAAGCCAAACTCAAGATGCAGTCGTTTATGAACGATTGCATACAGGGAGAGGGCCTAGAATTGTCCTTCACTAAAACTGTCTATCCAGATGGTGGTCTGTGCATAAGAACCACAGAGATGCCTTCTGGGGAGATGAATCTCTTTTCTGGCGGACCTGAAGGAGACTTGTTACTGCCTAAGGAGAGTGGTTTCAATCTCCTTAACTCAACCAGAGTTTAGCTGTTCTTGCTGAGTCATTAGGTAGTGTTGCTAACAAGGCTTGGACCTGGAATAACTAATTTTGCAACCACGTCGTTGATGGTACAAACTGTAAATTCTGGCATGGGCCTGGATTCGTATAATCCCATGCTAGAAGTACAGGCTTTGGGGTGGAAAGTACCCAAACAATCCCCAAAGTTTAGCATATGTCAGAGTCACATGTTTCCCAAGAATCCCTTACCGTTGGCCAGTGGGAGGATTCCAAAGTGGAGGAGAGAGGACAGAATGTTCTCAAATCTCAAGACCTAAAATGAAAGGAGATACTAAGTCAGTTGCCACGACAGGGCATTTTGAAAGTACCATGCCTGGTCTGAACATGCACCTTCCCAGACCTTATCACGACAGAGGGTGATAATTAGAATCTCCCCACGGAGATAATCTAGCTTTCCAGACAATGAAAGCTATTTTGCGGGAAACCCCATTATACGGTTTCCCAATCTTTTTTCCTCCTTGAGGAGGAGGGACGTTTCTGCTCCCTGGAGGCTGGATCACGGTGACAACAAATGCAGAGGGACCACATGGTGGCAGCAAACATGGCAGCTTAGGTATCTACCAAGTAAGAATATCTAAACAATTACTAAGTATCCCAATTAGTGGTCTTTCCTTAATGGAGGTCCTTCGCATTATGTGATGCGCTATAGTTGACAGTATCACCAGAACATCCGATTTACCCAGAATAAATTACAGTAGTTGTTAAATCTTAGCAAAGTGTTAGTTCCTGGGAAGATTCGGTATTAAAAACAAATGGACTGGGCAGGGGGATGGGGGATGGGTTAGCCTGGTGATGGGTATTAAAGAGGGCACGTTCTGCGTGGAGCACTGGGTGTTATGCACAAACAATGAGTCATGGAACACTACATCACAAACTAATGATGTAATGTATGGTGATTAACGTAACAATAAAAAATTTAAAAAAACAAAACAAATGGACTAAAAACAAACAAACAAACAAAAACAAATGGACTATGGGGTGCCTGGGTGGCTCAGTCAGTTGAGCACCCGACTCTTGGTTTTGGCTTGGTCACGATCTTGGGGTCATGATCTCAGGGTCATGGGATCAGTGGGGCCAGGCTTCTCGCTCAGTGCAGACTCTGCTGGAGATTCTCTCTCTCCCTCTGCTCCTCCCCGCTACACGCACTCTCTCTCTCTAATAAATAAATATTTAAAAAAAATAAATGGACTATGATGAACATCAGTTCACTCAATGAATATATTTTGAATATCCTACATGCTTAGCAAGATTTGCTGCTTAGTGAGGAGGGCTCTGAAGCCGACTTCCTAGGTTTAGCTCTTGTTTTTACCACTTCTGTGATGTTGGGAAAGCTCTTTAATCTCTGTGCCTCCATTTCCTCTACTGTAAAATGAAGGTAACAGCACTAATGTCATAGAGTTGGTCTCAGGATTAAACATGTTAATATTATGTAAAATGCCCAGTATATACCACTGTCATTTTCTCTCCCCCAGAAATGTCATTATTAGCACACTCTGTTGTTGATACTAAGCAGTTTCTTTGAGTCTTCCTGGAAGACTTGGACTCATTTCGCCTCCTCTAGGTTCAGGAAATATTATTTGTGAGAAAGTCAGCTGTGCATTCTCATTGATTATACTCTGTCATCTACCAAATGGCTATGCCATGGAGGTGCTAACCCACCGTGCATGAGACACTACGGATATTTTAAATTTCAATATCTGGCATGAAAGATGTAACTTATTTTCCAGCTTGTTGAGACTAATGCCACTGGCTTCCAATCTTCCCCCTGAAAATCAGGATGTTCCTATAAAATTAAACAAAGAAACAAACATCTTGTTTGGTCTCCTGGATAAATTCCTGGGTGTCTTTGCTATTTTCCTCAGATCTATTCCTCTCTTAATAGTTGCTTCTGTCGAACACGGTAATCAATTCAGTACCATGTCTCAGGACTGCTCTGTGAGAGGTCAAATGCCCTGACCGAGGCCATCCAGCCAGTAAGTGGGAGTTTACTTCTGCAGCTTGGCCTTAGAGTTTGTGTATGTAACCATTATGCTATCTGCCCCTTGACATAGAAGTGTCAATAACTGAAATTAATTTTTATAAAAACAATGGCCATCGTTTATTTAATACCTACCATGTATCCAATATGCTAAATGAATTTCATATATGATCCCAGCTAATTGTCTCAACAACCCCAAGGCTGGAACGGCCAGCTCCATCCCTACTTGCACTGCCCATTCTCTTGCTCTGATTTATCTTTCTCTATAATATTTTTCAGCATACAATATATATTTGCTTGTTGTCTGCCACATACATCCATACACACATGCACACTCAGACACACACACACACACACACACACACACACACTCTAGAATAGGAGTGCCCAACGGTGGCACTATTGACATTTTGGGATGGATCCTTCTTTGCTGTGGGGTTGTCCTGTGCACTGTGGGACGGTCAGCAGCATCCTTGGTCTCTACCCACTAAGTGCCTATATAGCACTCCCCCAGATTGTGAGAACAACAAGTATCTTCAGACATTGCCAAATGTCCCTGGGGGCCAAAACTGGTGAGAACCACTGTTCTGGAGTATAAGTGCCACAGGGTAGGGACACCAAGTAGTGATTTGGCTGATCTTCCTGCAGTTTGGGGGGAGGGGTTTGTTTCCAAGTATATCCAAGTCAGGATAGACTCTTCCCATCAGGAGGTCACCCGGCTGGGGCCCCCCAAAATGTATCTGCACAACCAGCCTTGATGCGATTTTAGGAGATGGCTAGAAAGGCTTTCAAGGGCAAACTTAGTCATGGCCTAATAATTTGCAGATAGCCTCATCCTTTGGGAGTCTGGGCCTTATATTTAATTCTCAAAGATTATTTTATCCAAAAAATGAAATCTCCCTGAAAATCTCCCTGAAAATGCCAATATTACATAGATCTTAAGTTTAAAAAAAATTCTTTTAAAAGTCTTTCTGAATAGATAAAAGTGAATTGGAGAGTTCCTGTCCTGTTTAAAAGTTATGGGGTTGGTGGACAGGCAGCTACACAAGGAATTTTAAAGTTAAAACCTACACTCATGGGGAAACCAAGTATTTAGAGGCTTAGAAAACAGTTATCCATCTCCTATATAGGAAAATTATCATTTTTCCCTTGACAGGGAACTCTGAGAGCTTGGATTCCTACCTCAATATTGCTGCGATTGGACTCTGGCAAAGAGAGGCGGAATCTGAAACAAAAAACAACAAACGTCAACGGGAAAAGTTTAAAGGATGGAATATTTAAAAACAAGCATTTCAACAGAAAGGAACGGGGATTTTTTTTTAAAGATCCATAAGCCACTATTTTAAAAAACCACACAGCCTGGTAAGGATATAATTCTAGTACATCTTTCCCTCGATATTTGCGGCTTAAGAACCAGAGCTTCCTAGCAGAAGCCTTGGATTTGTAACCAGGATGGGTTCCCCAAGTGCATTTCCTATATGGGACTTACTGTTGGGAACTCGAATGCAGAAGAATCCTTAAGATTCTTAAGATTCTGTTTCTTAAAAACAGTTTCGGTCTCCAGCCATACCACCCTGAATGTGCCCGGTCTCATCTGATCTCTGGAGCTAAGCAGGATGGGGCTTGCTTAGTACTTGGATGGGAGAATTAGGCTGCAGGTCTTCTTGGTCTGAACTCCCAGAATACACACTTGATTTTTCATACATAGTGATAGTTAAGATGAAGCAGTAGTAATCAACAGGGAGGATCCCTTCTTTTCACAGATGGGGAAACTGAGGTCCAATTAATGGCAGATTTAGGACCAAAACTCAGATCTCTTGATGTCCATCCCAAACCTCCCTTCCACTGTAGGATCTTGCCTCACCTTGCTTTCCCCCTTAGCCTTCCATGGCTCACTTTTGCCCGGGTGTAGAGCCTTACTTCTGCACCAGCCTTCTAATGGCTCTCCCTGTCTCCAGTCTTGGTCTCCAGTCTTGGTCTTCTCCAATCCGTCTTCTACACCATTCCCAGAGTGAGCTATATGACAAGCATGTCTGATGAGGACACACTCCTCTTCAAAATTCTTTAACGGCCTGAGTCCAAGTCACTTACATGGTGCACAAGCCTTTCTGTATTCTGGTGTCCAGTTGCCTGTTTACTCTCACTTCTTTTCATTCTCTACCTTGAATTTATACTCAAGAACCGTGAACTCCTTAGTGCTATGCTGTTTTATTTATTTGTTTATTATTTTATTTTCCTAGGTAGGCTCCACACCCAGCCCATAGCCCAGTGTGGGACTTGAACTCACGACCTTGAGATCGAGACCTGAGCTGAGATCAAGAGTTGGACACTTAACCGACTGAGCCACCTGGGTACCACTATGCTGTTTTATTAATCAGGCACTATATATCTGAGGTTAAAAAAATGTATTGGCTTCAAAACACATAACAAAAAACTCCTGAAAAATTAAAATTAACACATGCCCACAACAAGTAACATTATGGTGACTATTCACTTTAACTCAACTCCACTCATGGTTAAATTTAAATTATATTTAATGTGGAATGCCTTTGAATATATGCAATATATTTGGGGCTGGATTCTCCAAAATTAGAGTGGTCATAAAGATCTTAAAACAACTGTAAAGTATTTCCTTGCATACTCCATGATACTTCTGGCCTCCATGCTTTTTGCTCATGCTGTTCCCTCTTTCTGAAATTGCCCCTCCCCTGTCTTGTTGACTGGTTAACTTCTTTTAACTGTTTAAGATTTAACTCAGGTGTTACCTCTTCCAAGCACCTTTCTGTTATTACGTTTAAGGAGCAGGTAGATATTAATAGAAGAGATAAGTTTGCTTATTATCAGCCAATATCATATATTAACATGATATTGGCTGATAATAAGCAAACATAAGAGTAAAAACCAGAAAGACGGTCAAACCTGACAAGGGTCAGAGATGGCATTGGTAGCACTGTGGCTCAAACTGAGCTCAGTGGAATGTGAGGACCAGAATCCTTAGGGTATCTTTAAAGGAAGTAAGCTGAGCAATTGAACAAACACTTGAAGGTACTGCTGGAGAAATGGGAGGGGGATTCTTCCCCTTGGCCACACTGCCCTTTATTAAAGATGGGTAACCTACGCCAGTTTGCAAATCCAGGTGGAGCAAAGAGCAAACTCAAGGTCCTTGTTCTGAAAAACACGCAAGCACAACTCTGACCACTAGGTGACGACCGAGTTGTCTTTTGACTTTCATCCTCAAAGGGAGCCCCTAACCTGTTTCTTAAAACACAACTACTAGGAACTAATTTTATTACAGAACCACAGGGTTGTTGGGGAGAAAGGGAGCTCAAGTAGCCCTACCGTGCAGACATATAAGAGTTAGCTTATTTAAAAAGTTTTGGAGAAGGTTTACTGCCCTGATTGAAAACCAGAACAAAAGTACAAACACTTAATCATGTCAAATGATGGTGGGGTCATGATCTGGGTCAATATAACAAATACGGCAATAATGAAGTTCAAGTGGACCAAGGCACAGGCACTCACAGTGCCACTCACTCTTCTAACCCTGTGGCCATAGCAGACATTGAAAATCACACCTTGCACTCAGTACTGCATAGTAATTGTTTATCTCTTTGCCCTCTGACTTATAAACTTGACTGAGTCCAGAGCATGGCACATTTAGGCACTTTGTATTCATTCAGTTATCTGTCCAGCAGATACTTATCGAACACCTAATGCACGGCAGCCCTGCAACAGGTGCTGGAGATCACAACTGTGAGTGAAACCAAACATAGCCACGGCTCACATGGAGATTAAAGCCTCGTGGAGGGAGGCAGACATTAATCGAATAAGCCCACTGGTGATGGTTCAATGACAGATTGAGATAAGTGAGCTGAAGGAAAGGAAAAGTTCATGGAGGTAAATAAGAGAGGAACCTGATCTAGACTGGCAGGTGCAGGAAGGTTTCCGAGGAAGGGAAATACGTCCTTGAGCTGACCTATGAAGGGTGAGTGAGATTAAAAAGGCAAATTGGGGAAGGAAGAGGGAAGGGTCTGGCAGAAGCTGCAAAGGCCCTGGGGAGGGAATAGAGGCCAGGAAGAGAGCAGCAAGACGATGCTCGAGAGGCAGACAGTGGTGGACCAGGCTGGGTTTCTCGGGCTATGTCAAAATTTTTATATTTATCTTAAGAGCAAGGAATCTATGGAAGGTTTCTAAAAAGGGAGATGATATCTGTTTTGTAAGGATCACTCTGGCTGCAGTATGGAGAAAAGATGGGCAGGCCGAGAGGTTTCCTAGGTGCCCCTTCTATGCCCAGTAATGCTCTAAGCAATGTGAAGAACTTTAGTTATAACCACATTTATGATGGACAGACAAGCTGTAAGTATAGGAAGGAGTTGGAGAACAATACAAAGTAGCATGTCTTCAGTCCTCCTTTGTGGGTTTACACTGACTTGCTGCAGGAATTCTAAGAGTGTATGAAAAGGTGAAGAAACCAGCGTGGGATGGAAGTAGGTGTGTGTGTGTGTGTGTGTAAGATATGGGAAGGGATAAACTGCCCTTTGAGAGAAGCACTCCACCATTTCCCTTAGCACCCAGTTTTTGCCTTTTAATCTGAGTGTTTCTCTTACCAGGCTCTGGACCTGGAAGGTAGAAACAATTGCCTTTCTCTCTACTATCTGTATTAAGAACAGTATAGAGCACATAATAGGTGCTCAAGAAATTCTCATTGAATGGATTATGGATAAATGAGTAAAGGATGGGTGGGGAAGTGTTTATTGGAATTGGGGTCACTTTGAGAGGGAGCCAGTCTAAAGCAGAATGTTCATTTTAGGGAGCTATGAGAGGTAAGATTGGCTTGCTTGGAAGGTAGTCAAATAGCTTGACAACCCCAGGCTGTGCATTTAATCCACGATGAAAGGCTTTTTTTTTTTTTTTTAAGAGAGAGAATTTTTAGAGCGAGAATGAGCAGGAGGGGCAGAGGGAGAGAAAATCCCAAGCAGATGCCACGCTGAATGTGGAGCCTGATGTCGGGCTCGATCTCACAACCATGAGGTCAGGACCAGAGCCAAAACCAAGAGCGTCAGACGCCTAATCAACTGTGTCACCCAGGTGCCCCCAATGATGAAAGGTTTTCATGTGAGGAATGTGTTGAGCCCATTCCAATATTAAAGGACCCCCTTGATGAGGAAGAGTTCCCCAGTGTTTTATCTTCATTGCCTTCTGCAGTCTGGAAATTCCCCCAACAAGTCAGGGAGAAGGGGAAGAAGTCATTTGGGGTTTCCTCCTCTGATGGGGGCCTCGCACCAGGGCATTCCTCTGCCCTGGCTTCCACAGTAGCTCAGAGGGAGGGCGGAGATGGTGGTCAGCCCAGGTGCTAAGCCCAGGCTCTGACGGCCTGTCTAAAGCACTGTTCTGACAGAAACTGAAACCAGTCTTCCCAGGCCTATTTTCCTTTCTGGGTTTCTCTCCAGATGGCTCACATTGGGAAATGCTTATCTGCCCAAGCTGTGAGGAGTAGAGTTGGGTGGTGATTCTGCTTGTAGCCAGCTTTCTTTGCATTCTCTGACGGTGTTGCTTGGGTGGGGTTGTAGGGGGTGTGTGTGTGTGTGTGTGTGTGTGCGTGCGTGCGTGCGCACGCGCGCACACTGATGTTACCGGTGTGGGGTGCAGTTTGGGAGTGTCCAATGCCTCACTCATGGCAATGTCAAAGTTGTTCCAAAGTTCTAAATGGTCCAACAATACTGTATATTTGATTGCCTTGAACTTTGCATGCAATTAAGAAAAAGGGCTAGAATTTAGTCATCTGTATGGTGACCAAAAAAGGGAAAGTGTTGTTTAATTTGGTCTCGGAAATGTCTACTATGTGGATCAACCTGCACTGGGGTTACCTCCCAATAGAACTGTGTTTAGAACAAAAGTCGCAATTGTAGATGGACCAGTATGAATCTGGTTTATGACTTTGAGGGCCAACTCCGAGGCTTTTAAGGCCATCCTGACTTGTCATGTTTCTTGGGATCAATTTCTCCCTCTTATTTGGTTAAAATCTGAGCCCAGAAGAGGGAACGAGAATGAAACTCTATTGCTGGTAGTAACCAGACCTTACCTCGTCTACCCACACAACAGCTCTGTGGATAGGTGCTCTGTTTTGCTGCTCAGGAAACTGAGGGTTAGAGAGGTTGGTTGACTTGCCCAGGGTCACACAGCTAGCAAACGACAGAGGTGGAATCCAAAATCAGATATGCCTGACTACGGGGTTGTGCTCTTAATTAGACATACTCACAGAGGTCACATTGATTACCCGCACTCCCTGCTTCTGCTTGCTTTATTTTTTCCTTCCCTCCATTTCTCAAGGCAGCTGTGTGGAAAGGGCCGTGTGCTTTTTCCCCTGCAGGTCATCCTCTGCCCGTGGCTTCTCTTCTTCTATCAAATCTTCACATTAAGAAAGGACATGCTGCCTGCTTTAATTTCATGTGACTCCACGCTCATGGGTTTCCTCTTCTGGGCAAGGGTGTTTACTGTCTAAATCTTCTAAGTCTTGGCTGTGTTCCACAACAAAGGCAGTATAATGTCCTAAGTGAGCACTCAAGGCTGTGAAAACTCACCCAGGTTCAAGTTCTGGCTCTGCCATTCAATAGCTCTGTGATGGGAGCAGGTTATTTGACCTCTCTATAAACCGTAAAACAGGGATAATAAGCTACCTCCAGGTCTATTCACTCCAGCTACAGACATTGACTGAAGATCGTGCCAGGTCCTGGAGATACAGGGTTGTGCGGTTTAAATGAAGTAATATATGTGAAGTTCTTGGCACAGGACCAGAAGACACCAAAGGCTCAATAATAAAGTAGTCATAAATAGTAGAACAAAAGGCAATTTCTCTAATAGCCATCATGGAGCGGGACACAGGGGAATGAGGTGTTTCCTGAACAGGGTTTTTCTGTGTAGGGGAACTCTTGAAATGATCTTGTATAATTGAATACCTTCTTCCCCTGGATAAGGCCAGCCCCAAATTTTAAATAATAGCCATAGTCAACCTTCTTGAACACTTATCATGCACTTTACATATATTAACTCATGTATTCCTTACAATTACCCCTGAAGTGGGTTGTATTATAGCCTCATTTTATAGAGAAGGAAATGGAGGCCCAGAGAGGTTAAGCAACTTGCCTGAGACCCCACAGCTAATGAATGGCAGGGCGGGGATCTGAACCAGCTAGTCCTGACTCTAAAGCCTGTGATCTCACTGCCTCTTTAAACTCACCACGCTGGATTCACCTTGATTTCTACATCTCCTGTCTGTGTAGCCAGCCATGAGCAGCTCCAGAAAGAGACACATTCAGGCAGGGGATGTTTAGAAAGGTGTTTGGGGGGGAGGGGGTTAGTATTCTGGGAGCCTAATTTGGAGACCTTGTTTCCCAAGGTTTTCTCAGGGATGCTTCACTGATCCCCACCTCCCTTTACACCTCTCCGCGCCGTGTCTCTCTCTGACCTCACCCAAGACCAAAGCAGGCTGTCCATCTGGAAAAGCAGCACTTGCGGAACCAGGAGTGGAGGCACCAGCTGGGGCAGTCATGTGGGAGGCGGGGCTGCCATTCCTTTGGCACAGCGCTGCTCTTCTGCAGTCTCGCATGGGCCGCCTTGGGACTGAGTGTTGCTTGGCCCATCCGCCTGGCCCCCCATCCTCCTACTGCCCGAGGTCCGCCATAGCACCGCCAGAAGGAGCCACACCAGACTCCACGCAGGTGACCTGTGCAGTGGGACATGGCCTTGCTCAGAAGGGCCCATGCTTGGCTTAATGCCCTGCTGTCTCCATCTTGAAATTCTTCATAAGATTTTGAACAAGGCGCTCCGCATTTTCATTTTGCAGTGGGGCTTGCGAGTTAGGTAGCCGGTCCTGCTCAGGCCCCACTAAGGCCTCAGGAAGCCTCCCCAGCATGAGAATCTAAAGGAGACTCCAGGAAGGCAGGAGTCAAAGCATGCTTGTGGGCTGTAGGCAGCCGGAGAATGGATCCACACATTTCTTTGGGTGATGTGAATTGAGCAGGTTGCAATCGTTTTTGCGGTTACTCCCATAAATAAACCTAACGCCCTCTGGACGTGCAGTTTCTTCCCAGGAGAATCGCTGGAGAGAAGAGTCTGCCCGACTTAAGCAGAGCGGTGGACCCGATCTCTCCGCTCCTTAGTGTCTCTCGTACCAGCCGGCCACAAGCCTGAAGCCCCACCCTTACTAAATCCTTCCTTGCATCCTGCCAGTAAACCAGAGCCCTGCTCAAGTGCACATGGGGTTTCTCCCTTCTCAAGAGCTTGCTGCCTCCATCAGCGGCCCTGCCCCGCTTCTCCGCCATCCCTCCAGATTTCCAGCCCCCCTTTCCTATCAGCTGCAGATAGAGGGCTCACCAGTGCTTCCGGAGAGGCTGCTCAGGCAAACTGCATTGCAAATTCTCTCCTTTCCCTTCTGGCCTCGCTCTGATGCTGCCTATCCCTCACCTGTCACCCTCAGCCCCTCTTCCTGCCCTCTGGCTTCCATTCCGCGCCCCCCTCCCCCCGCCTTCTGGCTTCCATCCTCTCAATTATCAAAACTATCCTCTTCGGGGCGCCTGGGTGGCTCAGTTGGTTAAGCGACTGCCTTCGGCTCAGGTCATGATCCTGGAGTCCCGGGATCGAGTCCCACATCGGGCTCCCTGCTCGGCGGGGAGTCTGCTTCTCCCTCTGACCCGCTTCCCTCTCGTGCTCTCTGTCTCTCACTCTCTCTCTCTCTCAAATAAATAAATAAAATCTTTAAAACAAAACAAAACAAAACAAAACTATCCTCTCCAAGATGACCCATCAAGATTCAGAGTTTCCTCAGCCTTGACCTTGTGGAGGTTGGGCCACATTATGACTTCAGGGGCCCATTTTTGCCTCTGGGAGTCCTTCCTCCATAAAGAAATATTATAAATTATATTGGAAGACTGTGTTGTTATAAAGATAAGTACAATCCCGCCTGGATCGTATTCACTTTTTAATTCTTATTTCAAAATATATTACAACGCTTTCATGGGTCCCTAAAGTATCCGTGGTCTCTAGGCTCTGTACCTGCTGAGACTGATGGAGAAATCAGTCCTGTGTTGCAGAGCTGGGGAAAACGAAATAAAGCCTTCGTGAAATCTTTCCCCTCTGGGAAACCATACTGCCTTTTTTGTTGTCGTTCCTTTTATTGGGAAAACAATGTAGTTACAAAGAAAATTGTAAGGAGAAAAACGCACTCAATCCCATATCCTAACGGTGCTCTTCAGCTGTGTCCCTCCCTCGTCCAGATGGAAAGATATTTTGCAGCTGCCTACTGTGCTTATGCAGTTTTGCATTCTGTTTGTCCCATTTAATATCATTTCATTGAAAGCACCTTCCATGTTTCTGCAACAGTCTTCATAACCCTTCGGCTGACTTAGGGTGATGACTTACTTCTCCCCTCTCTGTTGGTTTCCTGTCCTTCCCAGACTCTGCTTTCTCTGGCCTTTTTATAGCCTTTCTTCCTCCTTCTGTGGGTTTCATCTGGGCCATCTGGTCATTCTGAATATCATCCTCCAGGTAGTTTGATTCATGGCTTCAACTTTCGGCCTCACAGGGCCGAGGAAAACGGGCTTTGCAGACGGTTCTTCTCAATGGCAGTTACTGTCCGAAAGTCTACCTACGTGACCTCCCTGATCCCTTTAACAGTGCACGGCACTCACTGGAGAGCCAGTGAGGCCAAGGGGCATGGTTTTGTTAAACTCTATGTTCTAGCAATGGGGTCAGAGTGAGCCTGCAGGTACCTCGGAGAGGACCCAGTCCAACCTCAGTATTTTACACACAAGGAGACGGAGGCACAAAGAGGTTTCCAGACTGGGAGCCAGCGACCAGGGAGTTGACACTTTGTTCCTCGACCTCAAAGTTTCATGCTCTTTCCTCAAGAGCATGCTTCCTGGAAGTTGTTGAGGAGGATCTTTAATTTATATTACGGTACCATTAGAATGTGAATTTGTTACAGAATTATGTTTACACTTATTTGGCTGCCCATTTTATCCGAACATTATCCAATGGGAGGACAAAAGAAAGGCTCCACAACACAGCTTTTAGTGAAGCCCATACTTTGAACTCATCTGGATCATTACAGGAGGAGTACCTAAGTGATTCATGTTCTATCCGATGGTAACTTCCCCTGTTCTGTTAACGTTCGCGTTGTCTTATGGTCTGCTGAATCACTTATTGCTAAGGGTTTCAACAGCCAAATCAGTTAAACTTACCTGTTCAGAGATAATGAGCAGACCAGTCTTTGTCCCAAAATAACCAGGCCAACACTGGTACTAGCGACCTGCAGACAACAAAAGCATTCGTTACTAAGTGGAGTGAATCTGTCTGTTTTGGCCACAGATATAATTTCTCATACTGGAAATACCGTAAGTTCCACTTTCCCTCTCATTGTTAGAGATACTGGAAAGAAATAGCTCTGAATATGCTCTCTCGCAGGTAGGGAAACTAACTATAAAGACTTTTTAAGGATCTCCCTGAAATTATTTTTCTATGTTTTCCTAATCTCTCTTCTCCATGTACTCTGTGTGTGTGTGTATGTGTACATGTGTGTGTAGTGTATGTGTGTGTGTGTATTTCGCTTAGACTCACTATATTAATCCCTTTCCATTGGGTTGCATTTGGCCTTCATCTGCTCAAATAACCTTGAATTCCCATTCTGACCGACTTATTTTGGGGAAAAAAATAGAAAGTCAGCTATCAATGTACATGCAGCCAAGGGAAGGGCACACAGGAAAGGGAGGAGGGGGAGAGCTATTTTACCACGTAGGGGGTGTGAGCACTGGCCTCCCGTACCGCCCCCACCCCAGTCTCACCCCGTCCTCACCACTAATTGGCGAATCAGACCTCACACCCCCAGACACTGAGCTGAGCACTGCTAGCCAGTGGCCCGCTGTGGGAACAGGACTGGTGTCCACAGGGTGCCCTCCTGCCCCCGCAGGCCTTACAAAGTCCATGGACACGATGGCTTCAGCAGTCGAGTTCTCGGTCTGGGCAAGGAGCACCATGGAGGCAGGGATGTCCAGGGTGAAGTTACCCGGCTGCAAGCTGATCACAGGGGGCTCTGTTGCCATGACCCGTACCATGAAGGGCTGGGACAAGATGTAGATCTCTGCAATCTGTGATGTTCAGGGAAAGAAGTGGAGACCAGGGAGGTGAGTTGATGAGGGAAATCACACACTTGGGGTGGCCTGGGTGATTAAACCTTACATCATGCAGTCAGAATAGAAACAAAGCTCTGGCAATTTTAACACCATCACCACACACAAGACAAATAATAACAACAGCTGACATTCACTGAATGTATCCGAATTATCTGGTTTAATCTTCACAAAATCCCTGTGGGTGGGTTCTATCAGAATCCCCATTTCACAGCTGAAGACAGTGAGTCCTTTGGTTAAATAATTTCCTTCACTTCCAGGTGAATACATTGAGGAACTGGGATTCAAATCTAGGTCTGTCTGACTCTAGATCCTTGCTCTAAAACCAGGATGCTCAGTGAGCATCTCTCTGTCCTCAAGAGCAAACCTGAGCCTTTCGGGACACTGTCTAATATTCAGGTGCTGTGAAGGCATGACATTAATAGTTGCTTCACTAAAGGCACAAACATAGGCACTATTCCCCCATGTCCCATTGAAGCTTATTATTTCAAATGTGTGGTGGAACCTTAGGGAAGGGACAGTTGATTTATTTTGTAAACTTACAATGCCTTTAATAGTAACTTGTTTAGTAAATATTTGTGGCTATTTTATTAAAAGAAAAAAAATCTTGGGGCCCTGGGTGGCATGGTTGGGTGTCCGACTCTTGGTTTTGGCTTAGGTCGTGATCTCAGGGTGGTGAGATCAAGCCCTACATCAGGCTGGTGCTCATCGCGGAGTCTGCTTAAGACTCTCTCTCCCTCTCCCTCTATCCCTACCCCCTGCTCTCTCTCTCTCTAAAATACATAAAATCTTAAAAAAAAAAAAAAAAAGAAAGCAAATCTCTTTAGAATGGAAAGATGGACTCAGGTTTGGACCAAAAAGGAACAGAAAAAACCCACAACTCTTCCAGAAGTAATTGCAATGAATCCAGATACACTATCAAGGAGTCAAACCCTCAGTACTCACCCGGGAGAGCACGTTGCCAAGGCCTTGAGAGTTTTGAACCAAATGGCTGGAAATCTGGAAAATCAAGACCATCATGTCACTGTAAGATTTTTACCTGGGTTCTCTTTTCAGGGAAAACCTAGCTTTCCTTATATTTTTATGAATCATGAAGTTGTTACACCAACAAACAATTAGGGTTTAAAGGTGGCCTATCATTTTATAGCCCAACCATAAGAAATCTGAGGCCCAGAGAAGTAAAGTAACTTGCCCAAGGTCACACAGGAAATACCTTCCTTTTTAGTAAGTGCCTTTTAACCCTAGCAATACTGTGTATGTCGTACATGTTTGATCCATGTGTAACCATCCTACAGTGGTTAACAATAAGTCTTGCATTATTGCCCACCTTTTCAGAGATTACTGAGACAAGGGATGCTTAAGTAATTTATCTTCACAGATGAATGGTTTCCAAATCTGAAGCTAGAACTTTCTAATTCTCGGCCGTCTATGGTAGCTGGTGCTGTCACACCTAGTATTTTGAACCTACGTTTTATAACCACTTGTATAATTAAGATCCATTGAACGAAAAGATTAGTAGGGGATGCTTAATAAAAGTTGTTGGTTGACTGGCTGGAGAGAGTGTTCTCATCATAAAAGGGAGGGGCATGGCAACAGAATCCGTGAGTATGTGTCCTATTACTGGTCATTGTAGATAAATCAGTTGCAATTACCAACAGGAGAAATATTTGTGTTGGCATAACACAAGGCATAATAATAGTAATAATGATAATAAGCAACACTTAACACTTACTCTGTGCTAGGCATTGCTCTGAATGGTTTACATATATTTAAACCTCTCTAATGTCCATATTGACCTCATGAGTATGGAATTATTATCCTCATTTTCTAAATGATGACATTCTGGCACAGAGAAGTTAAATAAATTGAAGATGCCCAAAGTCACAGGTCATAAGTGGTGGAAGGAAGTCTTGGCATTATTTAAGATCAATCTAGAACAGTGGCCCAGTATCCTATACAACTGAAATTAGCAGACCCAGAGACCCAACAACTCCCCAGCTAATAACAGCATTCAGTTCACAATTCCTTTATTCATGTCCTGCTAGGGTTGATAGTCTAAAAAGGCCCAGCAAATAGAAACTATGACATAAAATTCCCATAATGGGCTACTTATAATAAGACTAAATGCTGGTGCTGATTGTTCCATCCATGAATTCTCCTCACCTCTTTCAGAGAGAGAGTGACGTTAAAGGCCCCAGATGTAAAGTAAGCAAAGGATGCAGATTTAAAGAAAAACTCGGAGATTCCAACATAGAGCATAGAGTCATGGCGTTCTGGCAGCACAAAAGGAACTGGCAAGAAGGGGGGGTCTGTGAGGTTGTCCAGTGGGTAGAATACGCCCTGTGGGAAAACAGAAAGATCGGTGTATCAGGTCAGGACATGGGTGTTCAGCACTACGTAGGTGGATCTGCTCATGTCAGAATCAGGAAAATAGAATCCAGAAACTCAGGAGGGATTAAAAGACGACAGGGCCTTCTGACTCCTTGACCAGGGACTATGGTTTTGCAGCTCTGATGAGTTCTTGAGCATATGTAGACGTGTCTGTCCACCCTGGGGTGTAACTTCTCAGAAGGCAGGTGCATTTTAACTGGACACACAGCTCTGCATAGTTCCCGAGGTGCCATGTAGAGATGCCAAACCCTTGATCTTCAAATTCTGTGGCGGCTGAGCATCTGTGTTGCCCTCAGTCGCTAGAGGGTGTTATTACAAAATGGTGTCTTGAGTAATGTTTAACTGATTTGAAAGACTCTAAGTGATTGAAATATAAGTCAGGGGCACCTGGGTGGCTCAGTAGGTTAAGTGTCTGCCTTTGGCTCGGGTCATGTTTCCAGAGTCCTGGGATTGAGCCCTGCAGTGGGCTCCCTGCTCAGCGGGAAGTCTGCTTCTCTCTCTCACCCTCTGCACCCCCACTCCACAGCTCATGTACATTCTCTCTTTCAAATAAATAAATAAATAAATAAAATCTTCTTTAAAAAAAAGAAATATAAGTCAATAAAAAAACAATGATAATAACTTTGGGGCAAAACTAAACGTAAAGACAATTAATCTCTTTTCCAGAATTAGTGAACACCATTTTCATGTGCAAATGGCCCTGACCGAGGTCAACAGCCCTTCGTTAAATTGGCTAATCTGACAGGAACAGGAGTATCGATATGTACAATCTACTGATGTGTTAAGTTCTAATACGTGCAGAGCCACGCTACCTCTTAGCCTCAGACCTATCTCCAGAGACACAGTTATCATGATACTTTCCTTGAGGAAGGCAGTCATATGTTGGGCAAATCCAAACCATCCTTTACCAATCAAGAAAATGTTGAAGGGTCTTTTGAAAGAGTATAAGCATGAGGGAATTGCTTGAAAGGACATTAAATTATTTGAAGGGTATGTAGTGATTTCCTTCTGCATCTAATATTTGTTCTTCGAATACTGACTGTTGATAGCCAGGATGAGAATTTGGTGATGATAAAGTTACCTTCAAATTCAGCTCCATATAATTCTCAGTGATTTCTGGAGAACTGATTAGGGAATAATCCAGCAGAGTATAGTTGTCAATCTTGGTTAAAACTAAATAACAAACAAATAAAAATGAAAATTTATATTTATTAAAGGCATAGTATAGCATCTGACTATTATCTATGCAGAGAAATATAATTTAATTCTCTGTTATTTAAAATAACAATTACTCTTATTTTATAAATAATACACTTTTCAAAACCTGGGATAAGTAGATAAGTCAAAAGAAGAAATTAAAAACCCTTCTTAATCACATTATACTGAGGGAAACATCAATAACCTTTTGTTGTATAGCCTTTTATGTATAGACAAACACACACACAAACACAATTCATATCTACTTTTTTAAAAAGAAAATTAGACAAACAAAACTCACATATTAATATTAAACTACGTATATTAGGTTGGTGTAATGACACACTTTCAAGTTCTATGTTATAGCCTTCTATATAGTTAGAGTTTTAATTTTTTTTAAAGATTTTATTTGTTTTATTTATTTATTTTTAAAGATTTTATTTATTTATTTGAGAGAGAGAATGAGAGAGAGAGAGCACATGAGAGGGGAGAGGGTCAGAGGGAGAAGCAGACTCCCTGCTCGGCAGGGAGCCCGATGCGGGACTCGATCCCGGGACTCCAGGATCATGACCTGAGCCGGAGGCAGTCGCTTAACCAACTGAGCCACCCAGGTGCCCCTAGAGTTTTAATTTTTTACAATGAGTATGTATTACTGTTGTAATTAGAAATAGTTTTTATTTTTTATTTATTTTTAAAGATTTTATTTATTTATTTGACAGAGAGAGACACAGCGAGAGAGGGAACACAAGCAGGGGGAGTGGGAGAGGGAGAAGCAGGCTTCCCGCGGAGCAAGGAGCCCAACGTGGGGCTCAATCCCAGGACCCTGAGATCATGACCTGAGCCGAAGGCAGATGCTTAACAATTGAGCCACCCAGGCGCCCCAGAAATAATTTTTAGAAAGAAATGTTGAGAGAGACAGACAGGAATAAAATTCCCTAAGTTAAACAGGCCAAGAAAATTCTCATGCACAGTCTATTAATTCAATTCTTTTCAGAACACAGCAGGAGGCCAGGGGCCCGGGGGACAGTAGACAGGGTTGGCAGGAAGCATGATTTCAGAGGCTGAGGCAGGTTGTACATGCAGGGGTGCAGTGGCTCAGGAGTCCGACCCGGCCTGGGAAAGCCGCTTTCTCGACCAGCACCATGTGTTCTGTGATATGAAGACCTCCCCCCTCTTCCAGAGCAAAGCATCTGAGTAGCACACCTTCTCCTCTTGCACGCCATGCTTGGGTTATTCCACAGATGGTGATAAGAAACAAGAAGAGATGAAGGGACTTGCCCAGGTGAGGGAACGATACTGCCCCATGTCACTATAGTTTTTAAAATGCTTTCAAATTCAGTTTGAACAGATCCCATCACCACGCTGTGAGGGGAGCAGGACTGCGCCCGTTTTATAGGTGAGTGAGGGAGGCTCCCACAGGTAGAGAAACTTGCCCATGGCAACCTAGAACTCAGGAGTCCTTGACCAGTTCTTTCCTTACTACATCTTTCTCTTTCCCTACCTCCCCAATCTGTTCTTTTTTCATCTATCTATACCCAGCCCAATCCACTTGTCCGGGCACTGTGCAACCCTTCATTGACCCAATATTCATTCACCTAGTGTGGGTTAGGCACTGTGCCTGGTGCTGGGGACAGAGTCCAAGGCCCTGTGCTTGTGGGACTCACAGCCTGAAGGAAGAATCAGACATATGAACAGGAAATTATAATACAGTGTAATAAGAGTAGGTCTAAAACTGAGCTCCTGAGGGTTCTTCTACAGTCTTACAGTCTTCCTCATCTTGGTAAGTGGTAATTCCATTCTTCCAACTTTCTAGTTGCTCAGGTGAAAACCTGGAGTCATCCTAGATTTCCTTCATGACCCACATTCAGTGTGTCAGCAAATAACACTGTCTCTCCCTTCAAGGTCCATCCAGAACCTGAGCATGTCTTGCCATCTCCATCACTCCATCCAGGCCAACTGCCATCACTTGCTCACACAGGTCATTGCAGTAGCCTCTTATGCGGTCTCCCTGCTTCTACCCTTGCCCCCTTTGGGTCTATTATTAATGGATGGAAGCCAGACTGATCTCCTTACAACGTAAGTCAGATCATGCAAGCCTTGCTCAGAACTCTCTGAAGACTTCTCTTCTCAGACTAAGAGCCAGCCTTCGTATTGACCTGCAGAGCCCTGAAGATCTGACCGTTGCTTTCCTCCTCCCTGACCTCATCTCCGCCTGCCTTCCCCCTCACACCCTCTGCTCCCAGGAAGCCCTCCTCATAGTCCCTCCAATATACTTGGCATGTTCCCACATGGGCCTCTGAGCTTGTGGTTTCCTGTACCTGGAGCGTTCTTCGTCCAGATCTAGGAGTGCCCCTCGCCCTATTCCATTCAAGTTCTTACTGGAATGTTACCTGCTCAGTGGTGCCTTTCCTGGCCATCCTTTTTTAACAGAAACACCTCCCCAGCTTCTTCTCTACTTTATCTTTCTTCTTACCACTTATCACATCAGTATCACAGATTTTACTTATTATCTTGCTTGCCGTCTGTCTCCTCTGACTAGTCCCATGAGGGCAGAGATTTCTGTCTCCTGGGCTTACTGCTGCATTCCCAGCACCAAGCCTCTTACAGGTTGTCAGCACACCTTAGGTGAATGAATGCATGGAATGGGAAGAGAGAGAGACATTCAAAGTATCAGGTGAGCACAGAGGAGGCAAAACTTTGGGGTGCAGACTATGAGGTAAGACTTCCTGGATGAGACTATGCCTGACCTGAGTCTTAAAAGATAATGAGGAGTGGACAGGACAAGGCATGGCTCAGGGGTAGGGAGTGGAAGGGACTGGACCCTTCAGGGCTTAGCACAGTGCTGGCGAAGAAATAGGTATTCAGTAAGTATCTATTAAATGAATAAATGGGTGGAGGAGAGGGGAAGCTCTTCTAGGCAGGGAGGGCAGCATGAGCCAAGCAAGGGGTGTGGGGCCAGCAGAAGCAGTTTCACTGCTGGGGCAGGGAAAAGTGCCAGATGAGGCCAAGAGAGGTGAGTTGAGCCAGAGCATGGCGGGCAGGTCTTGTAGTCCATGAGAAAGCATTTGGGCTTGATCGTGAGGCAGCAAGGAGCCACTGAAGGGGTTAGAACAGGGGCAGGAAGGGGCTAACTTGCTTGAGATTAGCATGAATCATCCCGAAGAGGATAGATTTAGTACCAGAGCTGATGTTTCCCATGGCTCTAGTTTGCAGAGAGTAGAGCCGGCAGAAGAGCTGGGCTACCTCACATTGAAAAGCAAACCTAGAGAGCACCAGAGTTCGAAGGCGGGAAGAGAACCATCCTGAAGGGGCAGTTCTAGGACTCACCTTCTAGCATGCTGAGATTGGCGTTCAGGGCTTCCACCTCGCTCATGATAATGGGACAGAGCTGACCATAAAAAGAATTTCAAAAAATTGCAGGTTATCACATTGCACTTGAAACCTCTATTTAGGGGCCTAGACCCTGCAAACAAAGGCCTTCTGGTTAGGAGCCATTCTGCCTTTGGTCACCAGGACTTTATCTGAAATTTGTCGATGCCCATGGGCCCCCATGTTCTGTACGTATGGGTGGTGTGTCATTGAATGCTGGCTGAACTTCAGGGCAACCGGGACTACACCCAGTTAGCCCCATGAAAGAATGAGCCCTCGGCTTCTCTTTCTGTGGTGTGACAGGACATGTGCCCGGTGCATCTGGTGTGGTCACCCCTGAGGACCCGCTGCTGGGCCTTTGCCGGCTGGGGACGCGACCGCCTCCCGCCTCCTCTGTAGTGGCACCATGCTCTGCTGGAGGAGGTGCAAGCCGGGCCTTCGCTCTCCCACTCGGCTGCCTTGAGCGTCCAGTAGTCAGGCATCTGTTTAGATCAGAACCCCTTTCGGAGTTAGAAAAGCAACCTTGACTTGGACTCGAGCTTGTCTGTAGGAAGGAGGAGGCGTGCCGATGTGGGTGGGCCGCCGTGTGCCAGGCGTGTGCTAAGCACTCGGCGTGGCGGTTACTAGCAGAGGCTTGGGATCCTGGTCGACTTGGCACGTGACTTGTACTCTGTTCTCAGTTTCCTCATTTGCAACATGAGGAGGAGACCTGTACCCACTTCATCATGTTGTTGTGAGTAGAAATAGAAGTAATCCATGTAAAACTGCCTGCACAGAGCAAGCATTCAGTAAACGTCAGCTGTCTGTTTTAACCCCATTTTGGTCTCACGACGGTGCTCAGAGGTGGGCACCACTGTCCCCCCTTCACTGATGGGAAAACTGAAGCTTAGAGAACTTTAGCGAGTTGCCAGGAGTCACATAACCAGGACTTAGCATAGATAGTTGTGGTCTGAGCACTCTTTTCTGTTTTCCCGTGGCATAGAGGGAATACTCGAAGCAAAACGTCCACGGTCTCTTAGTTCTATACACACTCCCAGCAAACTTAGCTAATGGCTTCCTGTCAGAGCCCAGAGAACCACGCCTGGTTTCCAGCAGCGGAGCCATGGCGAGTGTGGGGCCCCCGAGCCGACAGTGCTTTCCCTGTCATTCTCTGACACGCAGGTGCACTGGCCCTCAGCACCTGCCAGGTGAGGATGGAGAAAGCCCGTGCAGCCTTGCAGTCCCCCGACCAGCCGGGCAACCTTCTCGGACAAGCTGCTGAGTGTGTTTGCGTGTTGATTTCCTCACTGACGTTCATCAAGCACCTACTGCCTGCCAAGCATGAGGGGGACGGAGGCTTCCAGATACTGTTCTTGCCCTTTCATTCCCACTCCTCCTCATCCTTCTCCTGCCCCCGCCCCCCCCCCCCCAGATATGGGTAAGGCATCCAGCGATGGTCTGGCCTGGACTGGAAAGAGGGCACACAGCCAAATCCATCTCTCCCCTTCCTCAAACGCTGATTTCTGGAATCGAGACACTTGTAACTTTGGAAGCTATCTTAACTTATACTGTTTCTGGAAACATCCTTTCTTCTCCCCCATTTCTTACCTATCAAAATCGTATTTATACTTCAAGGCCCAGTTCAGGTCCTACATCCTCTAAAAAAATATCCCTTTTGGGTTATTTCAGGCCCTTTGGATTGAATCTTTCCATTTCTCTCAACCCCTTCGGTTCAGTCTAATGATCCTGTAATTATGCATTAAATTCAAATACTCATTCAGTTATTGTTCCACAAGCCTGAGTTGGGTTTCCCTAAAAAGATAATAAGTTTATTCCTATTTTATATCCCCCACAGCCTGCAGCCTCGTGCTGGGCATGCAGTAGGTACGCAATAAACTCTTGTTGGTTGTTTGCCCATCCTGTGCTGAGCACTTGAGGTAGGGAATGCTCTTTCATTCATCTCTGCGTCCCCAGCACTTAGCACAATGTTTGGCACATGGTAGGCACTTGCAAAACTTAGTAAGCTGCAAAGGATAATGTGTGTGAAAGTGCCTTGGATGATGCCTAGCATACAACAGGTGCTCAATAAATGTTTATTGACTAAGAACTAGGGAAAGCATGGCAGAACTGCTGAGACCAGTCATGAGACCAAAATGGAGTTAAAACAGACAGCTGACGTTTACTGTGGTTGCGTCACTTCTAAAGACTTACCATTTCATTTAAGTTCTTTAAAATGGGTTTCTCCATGGGCTCAGCAAAGGAGTTGTACAGGACACTGAGGAAAAAAAGAGAAAGAAACGGGCTTATTCAGGAACTGTATCTGCCAGTCGTGAACCTCCTCAGGCCCTGCCGGAGAATCCAGCCCCAGACCAGCAACTGCCCAGCATGGCGCTACCACTCACCTGAGTTCTCCGGAAAATGACACATGGGCGTGGCTCACTTGGGCGTAACAGCGTTGGAGCTTCAGGATCGGGTGACCAAAGTCATTCCGGGCCAGGACAACGATACCGGTGAAGTAGACCCCAGAGAGAAACAGATCAGCTCCACCTGCGTCTTCACTGTTGAGAGGAAAAAGTGCAAGGTTACTGAGGCCTGGGCAGGGTTGAGATGGATCATTTCTCTGACTACCCACAGCCTCTAAGCTCCTGGAGGGCAGGAACTCTGTCACCTCTGGATTTCTGGCACCAACAAGAGGTTAGGAACAGAGTAGGTGCTGAGCATTTACCAGACAAATGAAGCAATGAGTATGTGGCTAGGTGACAGCTTTAGCTTAGCATTTTTATCCTGAGTGCTCTGGCCCCCATAGTGGCTGAGCATGTATTAAGCACCAATCATATATGATGCTTATGTGGAGAGAGAACATGGGGTAGCCTTATTTAGGATGGGCACAGATGGGGACGGGACACTTAGATGCAGTCTGTGAACTCTTTGGGTACTGGACTGTGTGTTGTTTGTCTCCACACCCCCAGGATGAGCACATAGTGTAAGCACTTAATTGTGGCTGATGAGTCAGCAAAGAAATGAATACCTGAATCTGTGTTATTTATGGGAGAATATATCATTTCTCTACAGTGTACAGGTCTGGAGTTCTTGAGATGGGGATAAATGGTACTTGGCTGGCACTCAATAAATGGTTGTTGAATGACCAAGTGGATGAGTGGATGTGCCTTCTGGGGAACCAACTGAGGCAGACCTAAGCTTTACACCGAGGACAGTGACTTGCACGTAGTAGGTGGTCTGTAAGTGTGACTTGAATTTGATCCCTCATTTCTCTAGGAGGGTGCAAAAGCCTTTTGGTAGGGAGAGAATTGGGCTCCAACTGACTATTATCCTCTAATCTCCTTGTGAGGTAGGAAGGCCCATTTCCTATCAGTTGCCCCTGAGGATGGGGAAGTATGTGGAATGGCCCAAGATCATACAGTGACTCACTGAAGGTCTAAAATGTTGAGCACCTGTCGGTTCCTCCAACAGTCAGGGACTTCCAGCTCTTAGGAAATCTTAAATGACATTTTGCTCTGCCTTTAAGGGAAGGATGCTTTTCAGCCCTCCTCCCCCCCTGCCCACCCCCCAGCAGAGATATACTGATTTAAATCTCTCCTGGAAAAAAGTACTCTCGAGAAAGACTGTTAGTGGCTGAGGGAAAGAAGCCTAATGTCAAAAACATCAGCAAATTTATGGACTTTCAATTTTGGTTCCATTTCTCCCCAGAAAAGCCGCAGACAGCATTGAGTGGAATACTCACAAGAGAGGAGACTTGATTTCCCAGTCGGTGCTGATGTTGGCAGTGCCGTGGTTGGTCAGGGCCTTGATTCCCACCCCAGGCACAAAGGCTAATGACGTATTTGGAAATGAAAAGGCATTGATTTTTATGCTGTAAAACAAGAAACAGAGAGGTTAGCACATGTCTTCTAGCACATCTCTAAGTAAGGCAAAATCAGAAAGGAGGTTTGTGGAACTCCCGAAGGCAGCTGTGAATTCCTGTGGAGGAAGGAACCTCAGGTCTGAGGTGCTGCCTCTGGGCACTGCCTTTTTTTTTTTTTTTTTTTTTGAACTCACGACCCTGAGATCAAGACCTGAGCTGAGATCAAGAGTCGGACGCTTAACTGACTGAGCCACCCAGGCACCTCCGGGCACTGCCTTCTAATGCCCCTTTAACCCTTACCAAGAACCCCTTGGTGTCTGATTGAGGGGGAAATGAGCAAGTATAGAAACAGATTTGAAAATAATCAATTTTTCTAGTTTCATTAAAGACAGTATGAGGTACAACACTGCCATCATGATTTTTCCCTTCAGCTGTTCCAGTGCTTCTCAATGGGGGGGGGCGGATATTAGTATTTTGGATATGACAACTGTTTTGTGTACAGGGCTGCTACACACATTGCAGGGTACCTGGTGGGTATGTACCACTAAATGCCAGCAGTGCCCCTCCCCCCATCATTGGGACAATCGCAAGGGTACCTTCCTTCTATTCTCAGATGCCCGCTATGTGGACAGTATCTTCCCTACTTTAGAAACTTAGAGTATTAATTTCCCCTCGGATTATCTGAGCTGTCAACAGGTAGGTAGGAGGCAATGGGCTGCCTGTAATTCTTATAGGTAGATGGCTCATGTATTGAGTGATTACTCCCTGCCAGGCACTGTGGTGAGCACTTTACATGCATTAGATCATTTTAATCCTCACAATAATCCCATGAGGTTGTTGCTGGTTTTGCAATCTGCAATTCATAGATGAGAAGATAAGGAACGTGGTTGAAGTCATATATAAGTGGTAGAACCAGACCTGGAGCCCTCCTCAATCTGTCTTCAGACTGTGTTCTTAGCCAGTAGGCTATGCCACTTCATGTATTGTGCAAGGGGCACTTGACTTAGAGCTGAGTTTTGTGCTAGCCATGCAACCTTGGGTATGATACTTAACCTCTTTCAGTCACTCAAAGGGAGGGTTACTCATGGGCAGGTTGAGAAGACAAAATGAGATCACCTGCATATAACTGTGGCACGGGAGAAAGGCATTGTTATGAACTAAGATTAAGAAAAACGTAAAATGTAAATGTGATAGCTGATAACAAATGCTTATTTACTATTTCTTCTATTTTGCATCCTTTCCTACATGTTTTTGTTATACATCCTGAGTCCCACTGTGGGAAGAAGATGGTAGAGGTTCATTTAACAGATCTTGGAAATATTTTCAGTTTGATACATATAGGTCTAATGCATTCCTTGTATTTAAGCTATGGATGTATCATTAAAGAAAATCATTTCTTTGTTGCTGGACATCTAGGTCGTTTCCAGTTATTTCTGTATTATAAACAATGCCACACTGAACATCCTCATATATGCTGTTTATGTGTATGTCCTTCTAGTGAGGATGCTGAGAAGTAGGATTGGTAGGCCAAAGGGCATGCATTAAAAAAACAAAGTCCTTGTAAATAACTTTCTGAAATGGAACCGTCCAATAGAAATAGAACATGAGCCACACACATAATTAAAAAATTTCTAGTGACCACATTTAAAAAAGGGAAAAGAAACAGGTGAGAGTGATTTTATTAATATTTTTTATTCAACCTGATACATCTAAGATAGTATCATTTCAACATATAATCAATATAAAAATTATTGATGGGATATTTTGCTTTCCCTTTTTCAAAATAAGTCTTCAAAATATGGTCTTTTTTTCACATTCATAATATGACTCAGTCTGGACATTGAATTTCATCAGAAATACTTGTCCTATATTTAGATCAGATAAAATTTTAAACTGAAAAGGTACATTTCCGTACTCAAATTGTTCCATACATACTTAAAAGCTTTTCTTTTTTTTTTTTTTAAGATTTTATTTATTTATTTGACACAGAGAGAGCACAAGCAGGGGGAGCTGCAGGCAGAGGGAGAGGGAGAAGCAGGCTCCCTATTGAGCAGACAGCCCGACGACGTGGGGATCAGTCCCAAGACCCTGGGATCATGACCTGAGCTGAAGGCAGATGCCCAACTGACTGAGCCACCCAGGTGCCCCAGAAGCTTTTCAAAAACTGAATTGAGTGAGTACCAGTTTTTGAATTAAAATTAATTAAAATTAAATAAGTAAAACTTCAGTGCCCTAGTTGCACTAGTCCCAATTTCCAGTGCTCGGTAGCCACACGTGGCGGGTGGCTCCTGTGTGGACAGCACAGGTCAAAAAGTACTGTACCAGTTTCTCTACTCCCACTAGAAATCTTCACCTACCTTCATAATATATGTTTAACCCTGGATTTTTCTGCTGGGACATTATTGTCATTGTAATTAAATAATTCATTTTGTAAATATATAATGTCCATCTCTCTTATTGGACTTTAAGGACAGGGGACTATATCTGTGTCATTCACTATGATATCTCCTATGCCTGGAACAAAGCCTTGGTACCTAGAAGGTACTCAATAAATACTTGTTGAATGGCTATCTTTATTAACAACTAGAGCATTTGCTAGGAGATTTTCCTAGATCACCATTCTTCTCCCCACCCCCCAAACCTCCCCAAAACTCATGGTTTTATAGAATGGTATCCTTGATAGCAGGGAAATTATTGCTCCAAAGGGTTAGAGCAACAGGGAATTATCACTGGATTGATAAAGCCTTGGGGTCAAATTGTGAATCACGGATAATTCCTTATAAAATCTTGACTCTCTGCTTTACCTTCAAGATTTAGTGCAAGATGGACAAAGATGTCCTTTCCCTATACCACCTTTGGGGCTTTTATTGGCAAATATGACAGGTTGCTGCTGTCTGGACATCCATTTCCCTTTCTTCTTTCCCAGACATCACTGAATTGGTTCAGGATGACGAAGATGTCTGCTTGGAAAATGAATTTTCCAGTCTCCCTTGCTAATAATAATAAGTATGGTCATAAGAGAGATCTGTCCATAATCGAGTACTAATAGAGCAGGGCTCCAGAAAAAAAAAACTCACTGAAGAGACTAACCCAGCTTATAAGAGCCCTCTTAACTCCTTCTTGGGCCTGAAATATCGATTTGATGGCTGAGCTGCAGTGGCCATACTGGACCATAAGACAACCTTGAGGACAGAAGCCAGAACTGAGGACGGTAGGGGAGAGAGATACAAAAAGGCTGGGTTCAGATAAAATTGTGGGGCTTCCATAGGATCCCTCTACCCTTTCTTTTTCTTTTTTTTCTTTTTTTTTTGTGGGGCTTGAACTTATAACCCTGAAATCAAGATCTGAGGGGATGATCAAGAGTCAGACGCTTAACTGACTGAGCCACCCAGGCGCCCCTCTACTCTTTCTTTTGAGCTTCTTTTTTTTTTTTTTAATTTTATTTATTTATTTGACACAGAGAGACACAGCGAGAGAGGGAACACAAGCAGGGGTAGTGGGAGAGGGAGAAGCAGGCTTCCCGCTGAGCAAGCAGCCCGATGTGGGGCTCGATCCCAGGACCCCGGGATCATGACCCGAGCCGAAGGCAGACGCTTAACGACTGAGCCACCCAGGTGCCCCTCTTTTGAGCTTCTTAATTGTGGCCCATTTCTATGACTTTTAAAATCTCAACTAAACTTCATTAAAATAAGGAAAGACTTGATGAGGGTAGATTTGTTTCTGAGACTGTGACTGAATCCTGTATCTAGGTTTAGGGTGTGGGGGCAAAAACGGGATGGACAAAAATTTCTCTTAGAATTCAAGGGGCAAGGAATTCTCATTTTAGGGAAGAGACAAGGACATCGAGACTCTGAACAGACTCCCCAGGTGCATACAACTAGTGTGTAGCAGGGATAGGACTTGGACCCCGGTGTTCTGACCCCAATCCTATACTCTTTGTCAGCTTTATGACCCCTGTTTCTTGAGGTCATTCATCTGATAAGCCCCTTACCAAAGATTAACTTTGGGTTAACTTCTACTCTGCAGGTCCCTGGTGTTACACCAGAACACAGGGTGATATATCCACAACCCTAAGGTTTTAAAGAGTAATTTCACTGCTAAAAACACTCTTCTACTTACTTTGAAAAATTGTAGTCCACATAATCAACCTTCAGAAATTCCAGAGATTCAGAACCTTCTAGGTCTGGGATATTTTTTTCCTTAACCATGTGCTCAATCATCTCCATCCCAGCTAGAACGCCTATGAAGGAACCAAAGAGAGCGTTTATTGATAATGATGAAGATGATAATGGCATAGCATCATTAGACATACACATGAAGTTTACTGAGCAAGGCATGCTCTTAGAAACTTAGAAAGCAGCAACCCTACAAAGTGGTGCTATTGTCCCTGTTTCACAGAAGAAAACACTGGTCCTCAGAGAGGCTAATGAAGACCCCAGGACCCCAGGACTAACAGCACGAGAGATTCTCATTATGTGGCCAAGGCTAAAGGATACTACTACACGGTGTTGTGATAGGAGAAGTACAAAATATTATCATTATCCACGTTTTACAGATGAACAAGCTGAACTTCAAAGAGATGGATTCTCACCTAAGTCACATGGCAAAGAACTGGAGGCCCCATAGTCAAATCTGGGCAATTTGGCTCCAGAATCCATGCCTTATTAGAAAGTTATTCCACATTCTCCCCTTTCCCCTAGATTCTTTAGTTTGTTTTTTTTTTTTTTTTAAAGATTTTATCTATTTATTAGAGAGAGAGAGAGAGCGCGAGCACATGAGTAGGGGGAGGGACAGAGGGAGAAGCAGACTCCCCCTGAGCAGGGAGCCCGACGTGAGGCTCAATTCCAGGACCCCAAGATTACGACCTGAGCCAAAGGCAGACTCCCAACTGATTGAGCCACCCAGGCGCCCCTCCCCTAGATTCTTTAAGCTCAGCAATTTTTGGCCTGAGGTACATGGACTGTTGGGCGCTCTTAACCCTACTGAAATCCTAGTAAAAGACTGTGAGTAGGATGTGTGTATGCATGTGCATTTGTGTCTCATTGTTCAGGGGAGAGGGGCCTCATCTGCATCAGATTCTCAAAGGATCCCAGGACTCCAAAAAGGTTAGTAAGCCCCGCTTTTGTGCAATTCAGGAATAAATCTGTCTTTATGTGATAACACCACAGGACACATTTTTCTGAGTTCACGGGGAAAAAGAGCCCTCCTTCACATAAAGAGCTTGAGAAAAGTAACTGACATAGTAATGAAGAATGATCTTTCCATTTTAACCTTCGTAAGGAGGAAGCTTTGCCTTGGCCCCCTATTTTGCAGCTTAAGCTCATTTCCACTTAGGCTATCCCTGTGGAGATTCAGAGAAGATCTTATCCTCTATAATACCATGAATAATATTATAATACAGGGAAGCAGGGACAGGATGTAAAGGATATAAAGATGGAATCAAAGGCACTACCAGACAGCTTAGTTTCGAATCCCAATGCTGTCATGAAATAATGATAATTGTGTGCCTGTGTGGGCCAGGACTGTCTACACTTTACACGTATTCTAACTTTTGGTCCTCAGAGCAACCCAGTGACATAGGTATTATTATTCCTCTTTCACACAGGAGGCAGTTGAGGCTCAGAGAGATTCCTGGACTTGCCCAAGAGCTCACAGCTACTGCGTGTCATCAAGTGAGGCTCTGGAGGAACGGGGAGCAGAGAACAGAAATCAGGCAGAGCAGACCTGAACTCCGATCTTGCCTCGCCCCCTTACTGGTGTGTGATGTGGCAAATTCAGTCCAGCCCCTCTGAGACTCAGGTTCCTCCTCTGTAAAATGACTATCCCTTCTTTGTAGGGTCGTTGTGGGAATTAAATCAACCCAGAGCCCATAGGCACATATCAAAGAGTGTGGCCATGGTAGCTGCTCAATCAAGGCATGGTTCTGACTTTATAGTGTGTCCTTCCCCACCACCCCATGCATGTCTCTACAGATGACTCCATCCGGTCCTCACATCATGCTAGGGGGCACGTTGTCATTCTCCTCACCCTGTTTTCCAGATGAGAAAACCCACAGGCCCAACCCTACATATTGAGGAAAGGGGCAGAACTGAGATTCATACCCATGTGAACTGACTAGATCTGTTCTTTAAATTGCTCTGATCTTGAGGGTGGAATAAGCTATTCTCACAACTTTAATACTATTACAAGATGTCTATTTCTGAGATGTATTTCTGTGCATATAAGCATATCAATATCGTAACAAGATACACACACATGCAAATATACATGTGGATACACGTGTGCATTCCTGGTATGTATTTCTCATCATAGCCAGCTCATATGACAATTGTGCAAGATGGATCAACTTTAGATTCCCTGTACCACAAGAGGAACTGGGGGAAGGACAAAGAGTTGCCCAAAACTCAATCTTCCCTTCCTCCATCCCTCCCTTCCTTTCCCTCCATCCTTCCTGTTTTTCTTTTGTGGTGTAGCAGGTGAGGCGTTTCCTGGTCCCACTTAGGTATTTCTGAGTTAGACTAGCAGCACTTGAGTTGACTGCTTTAGTTAAGAAGGGATTGGAGTAAATCTATCTGCCTGTATTCTGTAATCTTGGGCCCAGGTTTACAGGAGAGAACTAAGCTCGCACACTTTGATTTTGCAGTTTCTTTCCCATACGCAATCTGCCCTCACCCCAGCTCTGCTCCACATTTTTCTCTCCCTGTGTTTATAAACATCTCTAAAGGAGTTTATCTTAATCTTTCAGTGTCTTAGGCTCCTTTTTGCATCTAATGAATGTATAGAGCCTCTCAAGAAAAATGCACAATCATCATCTACATTAAATTTGGCACACAATTTTAGGGGACTCTAAGTTCCTTTTGGAGTTAAGCCCTTTCTGAAGTTCTAAGGTGTTACTTTTACTCCCACATCTCCTCCCCTCTAGCCTATGACACATCTTCCTTTAGAGCAGAGGTGTTTGTTGTAGGTGCATGAGGGGGTACAGGTGGCAGGGGGCAGGGAGAGAATGAATATCTGTGGCCGTGTTTGGACAGGCCTACCATCAAGGTGGTTATTTTTTAGAAACACTTCCTTCCCGGCCATCTTAGCAGCCTCCGCATAAGGGGCTGGATCATCCCACAGGAGAGCTTGCCTTAGTCATGAGACGGTCCAATATGAGCTTGGGTCATAAACTCCACCTGTAGCCTGGCTTCTGGAAGCATTCAACTCACCATAGTCCAGAGCCCGCTGAGTAACCCTGGCCTTGATTCCAGGGTAAACGGTCTGGGCAGATGAGACGTAGAGATCCCACAGGAAGAAACATCCCCAGAGGACTTGGACTGCCTTTGTATGCATCTGCAATTAACCAACATTTTTGGTTCCTTTATTATTTTTGACTTTTCATTGGTCAATTCCATCCAGCTTTTCTGTGATTTCTTGTTTCATTGCTTACTTTCAGAACTCACTCTATCCACCACCCGTCTGTTCATATATCCATCCATCCATCCATCAATCCACCCACCTATCCAGTAATCATTTATTGAACACACCAGAAATGTGCTAGGTGCTGAGGATGCAGAGATGACCTGTGTGTCCTTGACTTCTGTTTCTCACAGACTAGTGGGTGAGTCAGACACACATACAGATGATTATGACTCAGTACAGTACAATGCAGTGCAATGTAACACAAGAGCCTTACTGTAAATGTAACACTGGTGATATGCTTTGGGAAGGATAAGGCGGTGGGGATGCCAAATTTTTGAAAGTTTTAGAACACAAGTCAGTAGTTTAGAAAGGTGGCTTCAGAGAATGTGAGACAATCACTCATCTGCTTAGAGACACTTAATGACTCCCCTTTGCCCACAGGACAGGGTTTAAGCTCACAGCCCAGCTGTAAGACCCTGCCCTGCTCTACACTTCTACCACCTCAAAGACTTCCTTCCTTAACACACATGCCAGGCTCACCCCAGAATCTAGTATAATGCCTGGCACACAGTAGATACACACAAAATCTGAAATAAATATCTCCAAGGAGAGGGACCACATCTTTTTTGCTGTTATATTGCTAGTGCTTGGCATATATTAAATATTCAATGTATACTTGTTTAATTAATGGACTCAACGAATTAATGCCAGCCTATTTTCTTTTCTTTTCCTCCCTCCCTCTTTCTTCTTTATTTTTTTAAAGATTTTTTTTATTTTTTTATTTTTTAAAGATTTTATTTATTTATTTGACAGAGACACAATGAGAGACGGAACGCAAGCAGGGGTAGTGGGAGAGGGAGAAACAGGCTTCCCACGGAGCAGGGAGCCCGATGTGGGGCTGGATCCCAGGACCCTGGGACCATGACCTGAGCCGAAGGCAGACGCTTGACGCCTGAGCGACCCAGGAGCCTCTCCTTCTCTCTCTCTTTCATTCTTTCTTTCTTTCTTAGTAGGCTCCACACCCAACGTGGAGCCCAGTGTGGGGCTTAAACTCACGACCCTGAGATTGAGACCTGAGCTGAGATCAAAAGTTTGATACTTAACTGACTGAGCCACCCGGGTGCCCCCCAGCCCATTTTCTTGATGAATGAAGCACAGGTTACCAATAGCAACAGTGACATGGGTTTCTTTTAATGACAGCTGAGCGAGTACTACATTCACAGGCCTTGTTTCTAGTTCTGGCAGTTTACAATCTGGGTGAGCTACCATTGCTGTGTTCATATGTGCCAAAGACCCACAGGTGACAGATACCCACTGAGTTAACATACAAACATGAAACAAATCAGGGAAGCATTTGTGGGGGTGGTCAAGGAAGAGGAAGTTGTGGGAGCCATGCAAAGGGTGGGGTCAGGCCAGGTAGAGCAGGGAAGGATTCAGAGAAGGGCTGGGATTCAGGCACAGTCTGGATGAAGGAAAAGATCATTGCAAGAGGAGTGTATGCGGTGCTTGGCCAAGAAAAGAAAGAGGTTTGATAAAGGGGATTGTGTGGGCTTTGTGGATAAGGCCAAAGGTGTAGACAACAGTGTGTTCCAGAGAATTTACTTGAGAGAAAGAGAACAGTCTGACCAGGGAGAGGAGTATCCATGCAGGGCTGTTGCTAGCCTATCTTGGCCTTTTGTATGGAATGGGAGAAGGTGCCCTTTGGAGATATACCAGTCTTCTGGCACAAAGTGGGGCAAGCAGAAAATGTTTTAGGAAAATCCCACACCAGTGTGTCCAGCTTGGTAGGTAGAGCCAGGGCTGCCCCACTCACCCCTTGGGCTAGCATTTTTTTATTTTTAGATTTTACTTATTTATTTTAGCAAGAGAGAGTGAGCGAGCATGGAGCCTGACACAGGGCTCGATCCTCTGACCCCGAGATCATGGCCTGAGCCAAAACCAAGACTAGGATGCTTAACCAACCGAGCCACCCAGGTGCCCCATGGGCTGGCATTTTGTGTGGTGTACACGTTGCCCAATTTATAAGGGGGCCTATGTTCAGATTAGTGAATGTTCATGTGGGTATTTTGCTGGAAGGCCATGAGGTTGAGAATTGGGGTCATGACCTGTCTGTTCTGTGGTGCATATGTCCACCTTCAGGTGTGAGAAGCGGCTGGCTCAGTCAACTTGCTTACATATCTCATCTGATCTCCCAAGAGTCCTCTGTCCGGACAAATTGGACTCCTGGTCCCTAAACACTCACCATGTTTCCTGCCTAATATCTGTGCTTATGCTGTTCGTCTTCACCTAGGCCTGCAGAAACCCTGTACATCCTTAAGCTTCATTTTAAATACAGCCTTCTTTCGGAAGCCATTTCTGACTTCCCTAAGTTAATCTCATTTCCTTCTGAATCCTTGGTCAAAATAGATATTTATTCATGTGTGTATATTTATTTTCTCACGTGCCATCTCCTCTGTGAGAATGTAAGTGCCATGAAGGCAGAGACTTCATTTGGTTTGGAGGTCCTAGAGCCTGGCTTAGTGTCTCGGACATAGAGTGATTGGTAAGTATTGGTAGAATGAATTGTAAATGAAGGAAGAACCCTTACCTCACTCTGCATTATATTACAGTTCTTTGCAGAGGTGATTAACAGAGCATCTGTACACTGGTGGAGTGCATGCACCCACTAGAACAGGTGTGGGCCACAGTCCGGGAGCAGGGTTGGGGAGGTTAGGTACTGCATCATGGGGACAGAAGAAGTCTTGGGAGGACTGGCCAGTGTGGCTGGGGTACTGGGGGTAGGGTGGGAGACTCAGAGTAGTGATTATTTACTATTAGAGATGGAGTCATTTTAATATCTTAACATTGCTATGGCCTTAGCATTCAGTATGATGTTTCCGCCCTACAGAGTTGGTTTGGGTTATACTGGACAATGTACAGAAAGAACCCGGGCAGCAGTGTTGGGGCAGGGCTATGGAGGGGTGGCTTGGGAATGGCTGGGTGCAGAGGACACCAAGGGAAGTGTAGAGCAATGACAATAAGAGCCAAGGGGGCAAAACTTGGGTAGGAGACCCATCTCTGGTCAGGCAGCAAGTGATGTGAGGGTTGGAGGAAATGTGAGGAGTGGGACAAGCAGTGAGGGGCAGGGTGATATTAATATCTTATACTCAGGATGGATGCAGAAGCTAGGCCCCGTTGCTATCTGTGCCAGGCCCTCCTTGATCCTGTTGTCCTGGGTTGGAGGTGGTGGTCAAGGGGTCCTGGAGAGGGGGATAGGAAGAGATGGATGCAACTATTGGAGTCAGGGCAACACTCCTGGGGCTGAGATTAGTGGCTCTTCACCAATTGGTATAAAAGTATGTCCACATTTGAACAGACAGTGAGGCCATACTGATGTGCAGTCACACTGAATTGCTGTGGGAAAAGAATTGTATATGGATGTCTCATGCCAAGGCAGGCATGAGAAGGATTTTTTTTTTTAAAAGAGGAAAACATGTTCATAACAGTGCAATGCAATGGGAAAAAAATATTAGATCAAAAAGTCTATACACATTAGACTGTATCCAAGTTAAGGTTGACATTATCTCTCTGCCGGGCACGTAGTTAGGACTTCAAGAAGTATTTGCTACCTGACAAACTGACTGGCTTATAAGATTCTGGTTAACTAAGAAAGGTTCTAGAAAACTATGAAAAAAAGGGAGAAAACCAAACTATCATATAAATAACTCTCCATTTCTACAGTGAAAAAGCATAATAAACCAAATCAGAGCTATTACTTGTTAATGGAGTAACAATTAAAATAATGAATTTGTGTGTGTGTGTGTGTGTGTATGTATATATATATATATATATATTTACCATTACACAACTCACAACCATCTTTGGAGGCAGATGTTACTATAATCCTCCCTCCCTCTCAGGCATGTGAACACAGAGACTTGGAGAGTCTGAATGACCTGTCTGAGACCACATGGTAAGTGAGGCACCTGGGAACCACACCTTGCTCTTCTGGTTCCCAATTCTAGTGTTTATGAATTTAATTACTTGATAAGTGCTAGATTTTTCATTTTCATCTGGGAACTTTAGGAGATACTTGATGCTATCTTCTACGTGGAAAAAAAATCTAAGCATCTGGATATTTTCAAGTGTCAAAGTGCAAATCCTTTCATATTTTCTTGGGCACAGATGGAATTTTAAATGCCCTTCCAGCAGTAAAAATCTATTTTCCCTTCTTGGGTAAAAAAAGTTTCTGAAATGGTTTACACTGATGGAGATCCAGGAACTCAAAGTTGCACATGTAAAAACATATTTTTCCTCTAGAAATTTTATGAGTGAATGAAGTTACGGGGCTATAAAAGGATCGTACGTAACTTTCAGTTGAATTGTTTGTTAGGATGATAATTTATGGGCAGAGGAGGGAAGGAACCTTGTCAAGCAAGGAGCTGAGTCCTTAAAGGTTAAGTAATTCGGCTGACAAGAAAGGGCAGGAGGAGTGGCCTGCTAAAAGAAGGGATCCAAGATGACTTAAAAGCCCTGTCAACAAGTTACCTATTTTGCTGCATCTAAGGAATTGTTTCTTTCCATGATTCAAAGCCTCAGAAGTCATTACATTTCCACACCAATAAATGGACAGAATGACACTTCTAAATTAGATGGCTCTACCATAACAACATTTTTCTAGATATGTCTCTTGAGGCAAGGGAAACAAAAGCAAAAATAAATTATTGGGACTTCATCAAAATAAAAAGCTTCTGCACTATGAAGGAAACAATCAACAAAACTAAAAGGCAACCCTATGGAATGGAAGAAGATATTTGCAAATGACATATCTGATAAAGGGTTAGTATCTAAAATATGTAAAGAACTTATACAACTCAACACCCCAAAACCTTCCAATAATCCAATTAAAAAATAGGCAGAAGACATGAACAGACATTTCTCAAAAGAAGACATCCAGATGCCCAAGAGACACATGAAAAGATGTTCAATATAACTTATCACTGGGGAAATGCAAATCAAAAGTACAGTGAGATATTACCTCACACCTGTCAGAATGGCTAAAATCAATGACACAAGAAACAACAAGTGTTGGCAAGGGATGTGGAGAAAAAGGAACTCTCGTGCACTGTTGGTGGGAATGCAAACTGGTGCAGCCACTATGGAAAACGGTATAGAGATTCCTCCAATAGTTAAAAAAATAGAATAACCATATGATTCAGTAATTGCACTATTGGGTATTTACCCCCCAAATACAAAAACACTAATTCAAGGAGATACATGCACCCCTATGTTTATAGCAGTGTTATTTACAATAGCCAAACTATAGAAACAGATGAGTATCCATTGATATATAAATGGATAAAGAAGTGTGATACACCACACACACACACACACACACACACACACATACACACACTCAATGAAATTTCATTTGGCCATGAAAAAGAATGAAATCTTGCCATTTGCAACAACATGGATGGAGCTAGAGAGTATTACGCTAAGTGAAATAAGTCAGTCAGAGAAAGACAAATACCATATGATTTCACTCATATGTGGAATTTAAGAAGCAAAACAAATGAGCAAAGGAGAAAAGAGAGGCAAACCAAGAAACAGACTCTTAACTATGGAGAACAAACTGATGTTTGTTGGTCACCAGAGGAGGTGGGGGGGGATGTGTGAAACAGGTGATGGGGAATAAGGAGGGCCCTTGTCCTGATGAGCACTGGGTGTTATATGGAAGTGTTGAATCCCTATGTTGTACACCTGAAACTAATATTACACTGTAGGTTAACTAACCAGAATTAAAATAAAAACTTCATAAATAAAAACATAAATATATTAGGTGACCCTTGCCTGAGCCATTCTGATGAGCAGAAATAAGAAAACTCTTATTTCTTCCCAGGGGCGCCTGGGTGGCTCAGTCGTTGAGCATCTGCCTTCAGCTCAGGTCATGATCCCAGGGTCCGGGGATTGAGCCCCGCATTGGGCTCTCTGCTTCTCCCTCCCTCTGCCTCTGCTGTTCTCCCTGCTTGTGCTTTCTCCCTCTCTCTCTCGATAAATAAAATCTTTAAAAAAAAAGAAAGAAAGAAAAGAAAACTCTAGTACAACTTAGGAAATTCCTGAGACAGGTAGACTTGCCACTGGTATTCGCAGAGGGGAACTTTGACAGACTTTGGGAAAATCAGTTCAAGGAGGTGATAAATGAATGAAATGCAGCCTTTAAAACAGGGGCAAAAGTTGAAAAATTAAGTCCAATTGGTTTTTTTTTAAAGATTTTATTTATTTATTTGAGAGAGAGAATGAGAGAGAGAGAGCACATGAGAGGGGGGAGGGTCAGAGGGAGAAGCAGACTCCCCACCGAGCAGGGAACCCAATGCGGGACTTGATCCCAGGACTCCAGGATCATGACCTGAGCTGAAGGCAGTTGCTTAACCAACTGAGCGACCCAGGCACCCAAGTCCAACTGGTTTAAAGAAGGCTGGATTGCCAGAATATTCCAACCGAATGGTTAAGACAAAATGTGTCTAAGGAATCTTAATCAACAGGTATAGAATATGGGCAGAACTGGGGCAGAATATGGGCCATTTCAAGGGATTCAGTTCACACATCTGATTTTTACCAAGATCTCAAATTACAAGGGCATTGAAAATTTACACCTGGTCTTCCTCAAACTCCATACTTAACACAAACAGGTTAAACAATTCCAGCAAGTGGGAGGGCCCTTCGCTCTGGCAGGATAGGATGTAGGTCACTTGATGTGGTTTAAGACCTGGCCCCAAAGCAGAGATCACAACAGTCCCTTCTTCCTAAATCCACACTTGTTCAAGTTAGAGACAAGTTAGCATTTTCTGCCACTGACCTGGGATCCCCCCCTGAAATGCAGGCAAAAATAAGTCCAGAAGATTGAGTGACTGTCTTAACATTGCCAAAATGAGGCAAATGTCAATCACTCGTCTACACCAACTCTCTTTTCTTTCTTAGACCTGCTCATTGTCTTCTGGGTGGGCATGAGTGACATAAAAGACAAAAAAACAAAACAGAAAAACCTAGGCAGACTATAAAGACTCAGGCTACCTGACAGCTGACTGAGCCGGGACAGAACCAGCGAGGGGGTAGTCCCCACTGGGAGATTTTGCGCTGGCAGAGACCAGAAGTTTGTTCACGATTCTTACCTCAAGCAGAGGAAACGTCCAAAGTTGGGGAGCACCTTCGATTCCTTCTGCCTCTGAAGCTACGTGTTCTCCACTTGAGCCTTGAACCCAGCTGCTGAAAAGACAAGATAATTAAGTCTGAATCATCTAGTGGTGGATTTTTTTTAAATGCCTCTTTCAAAATGTGCTACTTAATTGCTACACTTCAATTGCCCAATAGCATGAATGAACACTACAGCCTCTACCGAGATGAGCAGACAATGCCACCCATGCAATGCTTACTCCCTGTAACACACACACACACACACACACACACACACGCACACACACACACACTATTATGACTACGTTACCAGAATGATTAACTCAAGACTTCCAATGTACTGAAAGAGGTGTCAAATTGCATTGAATTGAAAGAGGAAGAATTTTCCTTTCTGGGATAATAAGCCAGTTTTTCCTGGTCAGGGTGCCTGTAGCGGGTGGCCCAACTACTGCCCAGAATACCTTTTGGACTTTTGGTGGATCGGCTTCAGTCTGAAAGCATGAGGCTTGATAACCGGGCTGACCTAGTTACCACCTTTATCTTTCAGGGTAGGAGCAGAGCACAGATCGTATGTCTAAGTGTCTGCTCCTTTTCGGGTGGGTTAGTGCCTTCCACTCCCAGTATTTCTTTGAGGTTCAGTTGGGTGGGTGCATCAACTCCTATGTGACTTCACATCGGTAGGTTCCAAACCCTATCCACCCTCCCATCCCTCATGTTTTAGTCTTTGCATTTTATATAGCCAGGGATCTGATCGCATGAAGTATCTAAGGTCTTATCTACAATTTTCTGGGTAAGATAGGGTGACCCACTGTCTTAGTTTTCTCAGGATGCAGGATTTTCAGTACTAAAACCAGAACAGTCCTGGGAAAACACAGGAGATTGGTAACCCTAAGAAGAACAACAGGCACGCTCACTTGGTATTGTCCGCACTCCCGACAGCTCTTCAGGTCTTTCACCCAGGGCGCCAGTTATATTTACCTATTTAACGTGTGTTTCCTTAGGGACAAAATGGGGATAAAAAATAGTATCTACCTTGATAGGTTCTGGTGGAAAAAAAAGTGTTGTTAACCATCAGTCTGTTGGGGCTGTTATGGCGTCTATACAACAGACATTTATTGCTCACGGTTCTAGAGGCTGGGAAGTCCAAGATTAAGGAGCCAGCATGATCACATCTTCCTGGTTCATAGCCAGCACCTCTGACTGTGTCCTCACATGGTGGAAGGAGCCAGGGATCTCTCTGGAGCCTCTTTTATACCACATTAGTCCCATTAATGAAGGCTCCACCTTCATGACTTGAGCACCTCATAAAGGCCCCACCCACAGATACCATCACTTTTGGGGATTAGGATTTCAACATATGAATTTTGGAGGGACGCAAACATTCAGACCATAGCAACAACCTGGAAGAGTTTGCTCTTAAAACCGAAAAATGTTGTAAAATTTTATTCATCAGTATGTGGCCTTATCAATGGTGATACAAGCCTGAAGATACTCTCTTCATTGAATCATTTATTGTCAGTCATCACAGATTCCACTCATTCAATCCACAAATATTGGGCAAGGACCTTTTCAGTAAAGAAAACAGAATCCCTGTCCACGTGGAGTTTATTAGATGAAGCTATAAAACAAACAAGCAAACAGCAAAACAAAAATGTATAGATTGTGATGTATGCTATGAAGGAAATAAGGGACTGTGTTGGTGTGGTGGTCTTGTAATTGGCAGGGCGCTGTCGCTGGGGGAGGCTTGCTTGCTTTGTGGGGTGGCCTAGGAAGGCTTCTCTGAGGAGGTATACTGGAGCTGAGATCTGAGCTCTGCAGGGAATGGGGGTACAAACCTCTGTACTGTACGAAGGACAGAAACACAGGCATTAGGTATCTGAACAGTGGTGTCCGGTGGGTAGATGGAGCTCTGGGGAAAGCTTGGCTGGAAATGTGAATTTCTAAGTCATCATGCTGGAGGCGAAGTGAAAGCCCAGAGGTGGGCAGGTGTGTGGGGGGCAGTTTCCCATGGCGCATGTGCTGCTGAGGGCCGTGGGATGATCTCCGGTGCTTGACGGAGAAACACTTGACATTGTATTGTCATTGTTTTTAGTGTATGAGGAAAGAAGAATACACAACCAGACATGGAAAAACAGGAAGGACATCACAGATCACATGGAAAAAAATCATAAAGTACCCCAAATATTTCTGTCCCTTCCTCAGAATCTTCCCTAGGTGGCAGTACCAGTTTCTCCCCACCCCCATCTCCCCTGCCCAGGGCAGCTGCTTGGCCCCACCTTCCTCCCCTGCTCCCCCACTCTCCCACAATGCCCCAAACCTCTTCCCTGGCAGTAAGCTTCCTGTCCTGCTCAGCCCCCTATTTGCCTCTCCCATCCATTAACCAGCTGCATAGGATCTGCTAGACTTACAGGGAAGCTGATCATTGTAACACGGCTGTATTTTTCCAGACACAAATATTAATTTTTCCTTTTACCCTGGAAAACCTGAAAGTCTTGGTGGAAACCTGAATCACTGTTGTCTCTCCTGGGGCATCTGGCACAGGATTTGAGGGGAGTTCTCAGGAAGGGTGGCCTGGAGAAAGTGAACCGGGGACTCTGTCCTGCAGTGCTGGGCTCTCGCCTCACAGGGACCTGCCTGCCCCCCGCCACCTAGGACCCTGGGCAATTCGCTCCACTCCTGGGTCTCCGCCATCCTTTTCAGAGTCACTGAGAGAATTGAACTGAATGAACTAGCACATAGTTTTTCATACATTATTAATAAGATACATCATTATGTTTCTCTATTTTAAATAAAGTTTAATTTCCATGGTATTTATTTTTTACATTTACCCTCTATTTGGAAATTAATGTTTTCCCTTTACATAGCTTTCCCTTTTAAACAAATGTACATATGGTTTTTTAAAAAATATTATTATTTTTTTTTTTAGAGAGGGAGAGAAAGAAGAGAAAGAGAGGCAGAGGGAGAGGGGAGAGAGAATCTTAAGCAGGCTCTGTGTTGAGCGTGGAATCTGATGCGGGGCTCAATCTCATGACCCTGAGATCACGACCTGAGCCAAAATCAAGAGTCAGATACTTAACAAACTGAGCCACCCAGGCGCCCCTAAACCAATGTACATACAGTTTAAGAAGTGGCCTGATTTATGGGGAAAAGTAAAGTAAATAATGGTGCAGCTCAGGTGGGACATGGAATAATTCTAGAAAAAGAGGCTCGAATAATACGAGCTTAGGAAAAAAAGATGGAAGAAGAGAGGGCAGCTAGTCTGTTTTATTTCATTTAGAAAGGGCCTGAGATTTCAGCTCCTTAGCCTCCTTTCCGCTCAAGGAGTGGCTTTAAGGCAAATTTGCTGAATTCATCATTACAACAAAAGCCAGTAGCACTATGTCCAGTTTCACTATTTATTTTAGTTTTTCCGATTTAACTGAAAATTTGCTGGGAACTCCTACTTATCCAGCCTACCCATGATGGCAATCTAGAAGGCAAGATTAATTATTTCACTTACTAATGGCTGACAGCATGTTAGTCTCTGCAGATCAAGGGGCACCTTTAATTAAAACTCCAAAGAAACATCATAATTAACTAGCTAGAATAATTGTTCGTTAAAGAAAAATTTCAAGATAAAGTGTTAAGGAACTGAGCATCATACTTCTTGGTTTCTGGAATGTCTGGGCTATTCCCATATAGGAAAAAGCAGCTGAATACCAGACTTTTTTGAGCTTGGAAGACATATTATGTTATTCTTTGCAGGAGAGTAAAGTGAGAGAGGACAGGGATTATCTATATATCGGGGGGGGGTGAAGAATGAACCAACATTTTGTGTTGGAGAAATCTGGTTAAAAGGACACCCTGAAGAGGGAATAAGAGGTAGGGAAAAATAAGAGCTAACATTTTGTTGTTGTTGTTATGCTCTGGGCACCAGCCATATATTACCTTATTAAATCCCCACGAAGACTGTGTGAGGTACTAATATTCTCTCAATTTTATAGGTGAGAAAACGAAGGGGTTAAGTATATGCCGAAGCTTAGGTGTCACGGCTAAGGTTGTAGAGCCAGGACTCAGGACCCAGGTGTCCCGCTTCCTGGAGTCTGTGGTTTTAACCACTACGCCAAACTGCCTCTTCAGGAGGGTCGCTAAAGGGCAACCCACAACCCAGGGGATGTGGAAGGTGGGGAGAGAGAAGGATGCTGTTGCTAGGCAGTACATCTAGTTTTCCAAGCCGCTAATTGAATCTGTGACAGTGACACAGATAGATGTGTCTGTTTGAAGTTGCTAGCTTATTCCAGACCAGAGGAAGCTGTCTGGAACTTGTGTGGCTCTTGAGAGAGATCAGTGACCCTACAGTTCACTCTGGACGGGCTGAGGAGACATCTGGCAGAATCACCCTGTCACCTGGCAGCAAGCATCTCCCCCTCTCTTCCCAGCTCTGTCTCAGGCCACCTTCTCCTGATGCCTGTGACGACAGACCAGACCGTGGTTCTCCCGCTAATCACACTCTGGAATAGTTTACAGCCGTGGACTCCCTTCCAGTTTTGAAAAATAAACAAAACAAACCCACTTACTCACTTACCTCACTTATTATCAGTTGTCTAAAAGGGAGTTACATTTTATTACTTGTAGTTCAAACTGAATTTAAGTTCATGTTAAATTTGAGTGAAACCATATAATTGTCTTTCTCTGTTTGACTTACTTCACTTAACATAATCCCCTCCAGTTCTATCCATGTAGATGCAAACAGTGGGTATTCATCATTTCTGATGGCTGAGTAACATAAGCAATAGTACGGAGGAATGTAGGGGAAGGGAGGGAAATCCAAAGGGGGAGGAATCAGAGAGGGAGATGAACCATGAGAGACTATGGACCCCGAGAAACAGTCCAGGGGTTTCAGAGGGAGGAGGGTGGGGGGAGGGGGTAACAGGGTGATGGGTATTGAGGAGGGCACGTGCTGTGATGAGCACTGGGTGTTATACTTAACTAATGAATCATTGAGCACTGCATTGAAGACTAATTATGTACTACACAGTGGCTAACTGAACATAATAAAAAACTAAATTCATTTTAAATTTGAAATGAACATACATGTCTTTTATGAGACATGAGAGATATTGTGGAACCAAGCAAACAGATAATGTGACACAACTCTGAAATGTCTGAGAACCACCAGTGTAAGCCCAGTTCAGACAGATAAGAATTTCTCCACCTCAATGCTATTGACATTTTGGACCATGTAATTCTTTGATGTGGGGACTATCCTATGCATTGTAGGACATTTAGCAGCACACCTTGCCTCTACCCTGATGTTAGTAGCACCACTTTCGCCTACCCCAGTTGTGACAAAAATGTCTCCAGACTATGGCTAACGTCCTTGGACAGGCCTTGATTGAGAACCAAGAAAATAAAGTATATTCAAGTATTCTATCTAGCCCTTGCTGTAGAAAAATGGCATGCCTCTGGAGGGTCAGAGTCTAATATTCCTAATAATATTTTTCTTTTTTTTTAAGATTTTATTTATTTATTTGACAGAGAGAGACACAGCGAGAGAGGGAACACAAACAGGGGAGTGGGAGAGGGAGAAGCAGGCTTCCCGCTGAGCAGGGAGCCCCATGCGGGGCTCGATCCCAGGACCCCAGGACCATGACCTGAACTGAAGGCAGATGCTTAATGACTGAGCCACCCAGGCACCCCCCAATAATATTTTTCTTAATTATCCAATACATATTTGAATACATTCTCTTGGTGACAGTTTCAAACAACACTGAGGTTTACATATTGAGCTGTGAAAATCCTTGATGCTCCTTCCACCCCCTATCCCTGTCTTCTGTATGACTCCTTCTAGTTTGCTTTCCAAGAATATTTTTCTTTTTTTCAATAGATTCCAGAGATCTTCATTTGGTCCTTGGGTGGGGTTTTAATCATTTCAACAACTTCTGAAGATTCTTTTCCTAACTTGCATCGTTCTAATTTCATTTCACAACACTTTTTAAGGTCCATTTCAGTTTCTCACCAAGCATAGCAGATACCTCAACGTGCTTTGTAAGTGTTAAGAAAACCCAAAACAACCACAGCAAGACCACATGGTATAGACCAGTGGTTCCCAAAGTATGGTTTCACAGTAGCATCACCTGAAAATCGTTAGAAATGCAAATTCTCAAGCCCTTCTCCAGGGCTAAATTAGAAACACTGTGTAAATTAAAGCTCAAGATTCAGGAAAATGGATTGGATTTAAGTAAACACTCAAACTAAGGCCAACCTGGCTTTCTTTGGTGGAGATAGAATGAAAATCTTACTTTCCAAACAGATATATCAAGAACTCAGAGATATCTTTATGGATATCTTTATACCATTTAAAATTTTGCTTAACCAGTCCTAACAAGGGAGGTGGGGACTGAACGTTGTGAAGATGGATTAAGACCTGCCTTTTCCCCTTGAAAAACTCATAACCTAAGACTGGAGAAAGCCTGATATGTAAATAATTGCACTATGATGTGATGGATAACATTGAAAAGCATGTTCCAAGTGCTCTTAGAACAAAAGGAAGGAGCAACATACTTTCCTTGGAAGAAGGAAAAGAAAAGTATTCCAGGCAGAAGGGTCAGCATATGCAAAAGCACAGGAACTTACTTGGTGGGAGAGGATGTAAAGTAGGGGGAGAGGCATTCTGGAGTAGCGCATTATGAGTAGTCTATAGGGGTCATTGGGCAGATTGAAGAAAGTGGTTTCAGCTGGACTATGAAGGGTTTTTAATCAGGCACAGAAATCTGATTTCTATTCAGAAACTACAGGAAACTCAACAATAAGAAAAAAACATTTAAAAAGTGGGCAAGAATTTGAAGAGACCTCACTGAAGAAGATCTACAGATGGCAAATAAACATACAGAAAGATGCTCAACATTGTTATTAAGAATTGCAAATTAAAGCAATGAGACACATCTATTAGAACGACTAAAATTAAAAACAACCTGACAATACAAATCAATGGTGAGGATGTAGAGAAACAGGAACTCTCATATTCATTGCTAAAGGGAATGCAAAATGGTATAGCCATATTGGAAAACAGTTTGGCAGTTTCCTACAAAATTAAACCTAGTCTTGCCATACGACCCAGCAATGGTGTTTCTGGGTGTTTATCCAACCGATTTGAAAACTTAGGTCCACATAAAAACCTGCACAAACACAATGTTTATAGTAGTTTTATTCATAATTGTCCCAAACTGGAAGCATCCAAGATGTCCCTCAATAGGTGAATGGATAAACTGTAGTACATCCATACAATGGCATGTTATTCAATGTTAAAAAGAAATGAGCTAGGAAGCCACAAAAAGACATGGATTAATCTCAACCGCATATTGCTAAGTAAAAAAGTTAGTCATGAAGCCAGAAAATGCTATACAATGATTCCAATCATACGACATTCTGGAAAAGGCAAAACTAAAGAGATGGTAAAGAGATCAGTAATTGCCAGAGGCTGGGGGGCTGTGGTGGAGAAGGTTGAAGTGCAGGGGATTTTTTAGGTTAGTGAAATAAGACATTATGCATCTGTCAAAACTGATAGAACTTTACATATCAAAGAGTAAATCTTAATGTATGTAAATTTTAAAAAAATCACATAGGAGATTGAGGGGTCCAAGAGAGAATGCAGAATGTGAGAAAAGAATCTAAATGTGTTACAAATGTATGAAACAACCTTGCTGAAGGGGATTGGGGAACAAGGTGCTGACCTGTGTCTTTTGGGAATGAATGGAAGCTGTAAGACAAAGGGCAGCAGACACTGTTGTTGAAGCACTGTACTCTGGTTGATAATGTTGTTTTGATAAGCATCTGAAACCACTATACATAGATTCTGGAAATGAATGATTAAGCAAATGGATGGTGGCGAGCTAGGTTTGTCACAGTTGGATTGGGAAGTTACAGATAAGCAAGGGAGGAGACCAAAAAGATTGTGTGGTAAAGGATTAGAGTTGGAAACATCAGAATGAACTCATGCTCAGCTTAATATAGATACAGATGGTTAGGTATGGAAATAGTGTGTACAGGGGCGCCTGGGTGGCTCAGTTGGTTAAGTGACTGCCTTTGGCTCAGGTCATGATCCTGGAGTCCCAGGATCGAGCCCCGCATCGGGCTCCCTGCTCAGCAGGGGGTCTGCTTCTCCCTCTGACCCTCTTCCCTCTCATGCTCTCTGTCTCTCAATCTCTCTCTCTCAAATAAATAAATAAAAATCTTAAAGAAAAAAGAAATAGTGTGTACATACACGTATCTCCCTGTTGTGTTAGCTGAGAAGGCTTAGAAGCAATAACACCTCAAATGCAATGAGCACACCTAGCACCCAGATCTTGGTTTCTAATACCACTCTCCAGTAAAAAGAACTAGTGCACCTCGGAAGAATGGTTGATTCTAGGGTTGGGGCAGGATATATACAAAATGATACTAGAGCATCTTACAGTGCCAGAAAATAAGAAAGTGTTCAAAAACAGAAAAAAAGGACAGATGAACAAAAATCCACAATGATGTCAAGTGGATACAGTAGCCAAATGAAAGATTTCCCAGTGGCCAAAGTTGGAACAATTTGAGCAAAAAATTAAATGAAGCAGTATTGGATTATAAGCCAAAGTATAAAATAAATATAAGTCCACACTGATATAAAGGATAGAATAAATAGAGAATAGACAAATCTCCTGTACAGAAGAAATTCAAATGATTTATGTAGAGTCTCCACCCCTAATAAGGTATAGCATAACTCCCACTCTAAGTGTGGGCTGCACATAGTGACTTTCTTCCAAAGGCTACAATATGAAAAGGAGAAAAAAGGAGTACCTTTACAGTGGAGAAACCAAGCGGTCAGGATTAACAGCAACAGTGAGATGTCATATTGACAGTATACACTGTTGATGTAATGAGAATGGCACCTTGACTTCAGTGGTCTTCTTCCTAGGAGCATGTTACCTCAGTCTAATCATGAGAAAACATCAGACAAATCCCAGTTGAGGGATGTTCTACAAAATAATTGGCCAGTAATCATTAAAACTGTCAGGGTCATTAAAAAAAGGAAAGTTTAAGAAACTGTCATAGCCCAGAAGAACCTAAGGAGACATGATGACTAAATGTAATGTGGTGTCCTGGATGGGATCTTGGAACAGAAAAAGGACATTAAGAAAAAACTGAGGGAATCTGAATTAAGCATGGACTTCGGTTGATACAAATATATCAACATTAATTCATTAGTTGTGATAAATGTTCTACACTCATCTGTGATGTTACTGATAGGGATAATTGGGTGTGCGGTGTATAAGTCTTTAAATCATTCTATAAACCTTTTTTTAAAAAATATTTTATTTATTTATTTATTTGACACAGACAGAGAGAGCCCAAGTAGGCAGAGCGGCAGGTAGAGGGAGAAGCATGCTCCCTGCTGAGCAGAGAGCCCGATGCAGGGCTTAATCCCAGGACCCTGGGATCATGACCTGAGCTGAAGGCAGCTGCTTAACCGACTGAGCCACCCAGGTGCCCCTAAATCATTCTATAAATCTAAAACCATTCTAAAATAAAATGTTTATTTAAAAAAAGTCTAGAGGGAGTATATGTATTCCCATAGAAAAGTGATATTGTCCCTTTTAGTATTCTATAAAATCGTCCATTAAAAAAAAAGAACTGCAAATTTCTGAACTCTTTGAAAGTTGCAGTAACTGTTGCTTGCAGACATTAAAGTGACATCCTGCAAGAAATTAAAAAAAAATTATGAAGGAGGGAAATAGTTGAAAGAGAGGCTATGTAACATTGTCACGGATCTTTGAAGTTTTGGAGAATTATCCTCCGGAGTACCTTAAATCTTGGTGGTGCCTTGAGGATGTTCTGGTTCTCTTCCAGGACCCTTCTAAACCCCTGTGGTTGGATTACTTCTGCCATGCTGATGGTTATACCTAATGGGCAAAGGATTGAGACAAGGATCCCAGTTAGATTGGTTTTCTATTGTTTTAACAAATCATCACAAATTTAATGGTTTACAACAAAAAAACAGAAAAGGTATAATCTTACTTAATCTTTATAACACAGCTGTCTGATACATTCTTATTTACTATTTTCATTTTTATAGATGGAAACTTATCCAGCTTTACAACGTACTGAGAGGTAGACTGGGGTAGATGGTCTCTAAAGATGGCCATCATATTAGCCTTGCACTGCTTTCTCCAAGAATGGTATCTCAGAGAGAAATAAACATATTTTGCATAGGTCACTATTATTTCATATCTCTTCCGGCAGCTGAAGCTATATTCGAACTTATAAGACCTCCAAATATAGCCATTTTCCAATTTCTATTATTTCTACCTCTGTAACATCATCCCTGTCCACCCATCATCTCCATTCTTACCGTCATCCCACTAATTCCTTTCTTCTGTTACCAAAAGAGCCTCCAAACTAAGCTGGTCCCCAATCCAGTGGTTTTCAAGGCAGTTTCACCCTCTAGGGAATATGTGTCCAAGTTTGAGCACATCCTTGGTTTTTACAATTGGGGGAGAGGTTTCTAGCAGCATTTTGTGGATAGACTAGGGATGCTGCTAAACATCCTACAAGGCATAGGATAGTCCTCCACAACTAACACTCATGAAGCCCAAGTGTCAACAGTGCCAAGGTTGAGGAACCCTGATCTAATATAGCCCCTACACGCGACAGGTGATAGATTCACATTTCAGATCTGACCTGTGTCCCTTGTGCTGTATGCCTGTCAGACTCATGGCTTCCTGCCATCTTTTGAATGGCCTTTTTTTTTTTTTTTTTTAACATTTGGGGATATTTGCCTTCCCAAGGAAGGAGTTCAGACCCCCCCCAATCTCAGTCTCCTTTGCAGCCAGGACTCAGGCATGGGACTCCCATCCCCCTTAATCAGATGTATCCCTATGAGCCTTTGATTTAGAAGTGAGCAAGGTGAGGAAACGGGCTCTTTTGGAAGCTTGGCATTTTGTTGGTGTAGGAGGTCACAAAAACGTGTGGCATTTGAAGGTGGCTGCCATTCCACAGTGGTTTCTGTCAGGGAGACAGCAGTTTCCTCCAGGGCAGGGTGGGGCAATCCCAGTCAGTCAGGCTAGTTTCCCCATCAGGCCAGTTCTTCAGCGTGGTTCTGAGTTTCATTCCTGGAATTAGCCTGGAACCTCTTTAGTCCTTCCCAGAATTCCCTGAGCTATCCAGTATCCTTTTTAACATGTTCCTTTTCTTCTTAGTCGGCCAGAGTCAGTCTCTATTGCTCAGAACTAAGAAACCTGATAAAGAATCCCTTGCTTAAAACTCTCCATTGGCTTCTCACACATTCTAGAATGTGTCTTAAATCCTTGGCTTAGCTCAAGGATCTTCTTTATCTGAGATGTACCCACTCTGTCCTTCCCTCTGGCCACACTGAGCCACCCTGGTCCTGCCACCCTTCCTCAATCTCATATTGTTTGCCACTAAAGATGGGTATTAAGGAGGGCACATATTGCGTGGAGCCCTGGGTGTTATATGCAAACAATGAATCATGGAACACTACCTCAAAAACTAATGATGTACTGTATGGTGACTAACATAACATAATAAAAAGAAATTAAAAAAAAAAGAATCCTACTGGCACAACCACCCTTCTCTGTGTACCCCAGTCCCCAGGATTGTTATTATCTGTCATAAACAAAAAACTCATTACACTCTACTACAAGAGTTGATTCACTCAACTGTGAATTCAATCTTTTGAGTCCCCAGCACCTGTAATAATATCTAGCACAAAGTAGGTGTTCAATACATGTTTATTTAACCAATGAAGATCAGGATGTGGACAAGTACTGCCACCTACTGGGAGAAACTTCATTCAACTCTTTCATAATGATTTGGACAACGGCTCTCATACAAGGGTGAAATTTGACGATTCCCTCTCTCTCATCTAAGTTATCATCATCATCATCATCATCGTCAGACTCTCTATAGTAGCCGGCCTTCCAAATGGATCCCAATGATCCCTACTGGTATTCATGCCTTTGGGTTGATCCTCCCACACTGTAGGGTTGTCTAGAATGACAGAAATGATGGTATGTGACCTCTGAGGCTTGATCACAACAGACACTGTGGCTTCTGCTTTGGTCTCTTTGGGACCACGTGTTATGAAAGAAGCCAGATGCTAAGTCATGGGGACACTCAACTGGCCCTATAGAGAGGTCCTTGCCCTGAAAAACAGGCCTCCCGCCAACAGTCATGTGAGTGAGCTATCCAGCAAGCAGGTTCTCCAGCCTGAGTCAAGACTTCAGATAACTTGCAGCCTTGGCTCACGAGAGACCGAGACAGAACCACCCAGAGACGCCAGGCCCAAATTCTTGACATACAGAACCTGGGGGACAACTAACGTTCGTTGTTTTAAGCCGTTAAACTTTGGGGTGATTGCTATGTAACAGACTACTACTATACTGTCCGATATAGATCAAGGACTACAAGCTGTTTCATATTTTGCTGTAACAGGAGAAAACTAGCAGAGCCTGGGCTCAACCTAAGGCTTCTCAGAGCAGATGCCTGTGGCTGGAGCGGAGCGCCGCGGAGGAAATGAGTTAAGAACCAGAGACGCCTGGGGCTTGCGGAGTGGCAAGTCACATATTCTGCAGCCTCTCTCTCGGCGTTAACGTTCTCCAAGCACGCCTGGAAGGAGTCGGCACACCGCCGGCCGCACAGGAGCAGCCACAGCCGACAGAGCCGTGCCCCCCGCCCCCCGCGGCAGTCTCGGCACCTGCGCACTGAGCGCCTCTCACTCTCAGGCTGCGCCGTTGCGCGCCGAGCCATCGATTACAAGACGCCGAGGCGCCTGGCTGGGCAGCCGCCCGCCCGAGGGTGGGCTCTAGGGGGCGCCCTCATGAGAGGGGCGGGGCGCTCATGTTCCAGAGACCCGCCGGCAGGGCCTGCGGCGGCTCCTTCTCTCCGCTAGTCCTCTGGTAGTCGCCGCTCCGGGCCCGCCGCCGCGCCGTCGTCACCGTCGCCGCCTCCGGGTCCGGGCCCCCGGGGCCCTCCCGCCGCCACCATGAAGCTGCGGGTCCGGCTACAGAAGCGGACCTGGCCGCTGGAGATGCCAGACGCGGAGCCGACGCTGGGCCAGCTACGCGCGCACCTGAGCCAGGCCCTGCTGCCCACTCGGGGCTTCAGGTAGGCGGCTGCGGCGGGGGCGCGCCGCGGGCCCGGGAGCAGAGCGCAGGAGCGCGCGCCCGTCCCGGGCGGTCACGTGAGGCCGGGCGGTAGCTGGGCGGGTCGGGCGTCCCAGGGGCGGTGACGCGCGCAGGCCGGGCACGGCGCGGGCGCTGGGGCTGCAGCTCGCCGGCTCCCCGGCTCGTGGAGGCCATGGCCCGGCGTCCCGGGGGCTCCCTTCCCTTGCAGGGTGAGCCATCGCTTACGTTTCCGCAGCAGAGGATACCAGGGACAGGCCGGGGCGTAGGGGTTCGGCTGGGGCTAGACCTTTCCAGGCTCTGTGGGATTTAAGTTCACCATCTCCAGCTGTCGCAGTATTCCAGGGAAAAAGGAAAGTTCTAGAAGTTAGAAACCGGCCCTCCATCGGAGGCCACCTGTGAGCGGGCCGCGGGGAGCACTTTGACTTACCCGCCGCAGAGTGTTTTATACGCTCAGGGGTGTCGGCGTGGTTCAGAACCTTCTATTTCCTTGGGCGAGCTGTTGCTTTTTTGCTAAAACTAAGATAAACGTTGGCCGTGGGATGACGCTGGAGAGCTTGCAGTTTGGGGGCAGTGACGTTGAGAAATAACGGACCAGATTCCGCTGTTAATTTATGGGGCTGCAAATGAGACTGCTTTGTTTTCCACAGAGAGTATTTTCTGGGGACAGTAATCTGGGGGTAGAGGGAAGGAGATAAGGGGTGGGCCTCTTCACGCACTGAACTAGCGAGTTTGGAATCCGAGTGTGCTAAGAAAACAGAAAAAGGTGGTCGCTGGGGCTTTTTAGGTGATTTCGTCAAAAGAAAACCTTTCTGATAATTAAGTGGACCGTTTTTATGAGACTTTTATATACCTTGACTTTATTTTTAGGGAATAGAGTAAAATGAGGCCGTATCATGAACTCACCTTCCATTTTTCAGGTTAAGGCACTATATTAAAAGTAAGCCTGTTTTTCTCCAAATTAAAAATGGGATATTGACATAACTGTTAAGGGTTGTATTAAGTGACAGGCCTGTTGTTATTTCTTGGTGTTAAGCCTAAGCGTTTTTATATGTTGATGCCATTACCCCACCAGAATTCTTCAAAAGTAACTTTTTTTTAAAAAGATTTTTTCATATATATGTATATATATTTTATTAATGTTATATTTTAAATTAGGGGCAGCCTGGAAAGGGCTTTATCCAAGAGCCCAAGTTAGTTTCTCCTTTGGGTTGGTTTTTACAGTTGAGGCTGGCTAACTGGAAGGAATGTAAGCTTCAGCTTCTGAAAGTAAATTCATTCTTCTGAAAGTATCTTCACTTTATAAAAATGGGCAGTTTTAAAATGACCATAGGACATTATTATTTTTAAAGTGTCTTCACTGAGCAAGTGCATCGGGTATTTTTATATTTTTAAAGGGCCTAGTGTTTCTAGGATGGCATTTTCTGATGAATTAAAAAATTTTTTTTTTTCAGTTTCAGAAAACCAGTTTTTAACCCCTCTGCTGAAAAGCTATATGTTACTTTAGAACTAGCTCTTCCCTTTTTCTAAATGGGGAGGGAAGGCCAGCATTTTTATTAATCATATAATTCTTTAGCTTTTCTGCAAGTAGATGTTTGAATGACTATTTTGTTAGATACTGTTAAAAAAACCAAACTCTTTGCTGTGACAGATGGTCCGTAAACACATAGTACATTTGAGGTGTTTTTCTCTTTTTCTTTTGGGATAGTGTTTTTTGGGGGCATCTGGCAGATTTTCAACATTTATCAGAAGGTTTGAAAACAGAAGCATAGCTACTTATTTTCTAATAAGCAAAACTTCGGTAATTTCTCTACAAAAGACAGTGTCATTGGTAAGAAAACGTGTCTTTACATGTGAAAAAAAACAAATGAATTATTTTGAGTACTTTTGAAAATGCAGCATTGCAACAATATTGTTTATTCATGATTTTCAAAGGACTTCATCCTTGGTTAACCTCTCAAAGTTAATGAAGTCAGCATTGCTGAGTCTAAATGCCTTAGAAAATGTTGTGCAGTGGTTTGTTAATTACTCTTCACCGCTATGTGATGGTTATTCTCTCAACTCAGAGAGCCTGTGGTATGGAAGGGAGAGTTCGTTGCTTCAGGCTAATTTGTGCTCTTAACTTGTTTAGCAGTGGGTTTTTGGATTTGTGCTGTTTTCATTATAAAAGACATCACACATAACTGGTCATCAGTAAGAAAGGTGACCTTGTATTTAACAGTGGGAGGGATGAATTTATACTCATCCTCTACATACTCATCTTTTTGTGATTGTGAATATTTACCTAGGACGTGGGTCTAGAATTTTGGAACAGACATAAGCTGTTATGTAAACAGTGACTAGGGAGCCCTGATTTCACTTTCATCTCCATCTTCCCAACTAATGTTTGTTGGTTGCATTTATTCCACAAATACTTTTGACAAGTGCTGGAGATACAGTTTTGAATGAGACAGGCAGGATACCCGACCTTATGAAACTTAAATTGTAGTGGTGGGGTGGAGAAGAGATGATAAATAAATATGGAATTTTCAAATAGTGATGTTATAATAAAAATAAAACATGAGAATGGAATAGAGTGATGGAGGCCAGGCGGAAGGCATC